ATTTACAACAATATATACACAATAAATGAATATTGTGTAATCATTTAAACATATGACATCCCTTGCAGAGACTGGCTTTTCCAGCTCTGATTGGAAGTATCATAATCATTGTTCCCAGTGTTCCTTTGAGTGTGGCAAGGTCTTTCCCCCGGTAGAAATTATTCTTGGCTTGCCTTTGACAGAGTGTCATTGCTTTTGTTTAATATTGGCCAATTTGTTAAGGGAATTTATATGCTGCCTCTTGAGGTAGTATAGAAGCCTTATTATTTTTTAAGTAACATAAATGCAATAAATCATCAATGTAAAACAAAACAAGCCACTAAAAACAAGCCATCAAAACAGCATAAAGCCACCACAGAGCACCCTGGAACAACCCAGCCTACGCTGCATTCAAACGTCATGTCAAGCCAGCTAGAAGGTCAAAAGTATCCAACTCCAGTTTATGCGAAGTTCACGTGTGCACTTGATTTTGCCATTCTTGTGTCAAGCTACCTCTCCCCCCCCCCGGGACTTGGCTACAGTGACCCATGCAATGGTCACTTCCAGGCTTGATTAGTGTAACTCGCCTTACGCGGGCTTGCCTGTATGACTGACCTGGAAACTCCAGGTAGTGCAGAATGCAGTGGCACACCTGCTGAGGGCATCACCTGTGCAGGCAGGCATTCGGCCGGTATTGTGCCGCTTGTGCTGGCTACCAATTGAGTACCGGATCCACTTCAAGGTGTTGGTATTAGCCCTTAAAGCCTTACGTGGCCTGGGACCGACATATCTGAAGGACCTCTCCCCATATGTCCCTCATAGAGCCGTGCACTTGCTGGATCCACACCTACTGGTTATCCCCGGCCCAAAGGACATCCGCCTAGCCTTGGCCAGGGCCAGGGCTTTTTCTGCCCTTGCCCCAGCCTGGTGGAATCAGCTCCCACTAGCTCAAGTTCAAGTTCAAAACTTTTATTGGCATAGATCATAATCATACAGTCGCCATTCAGTTCATGGATTTGACACACAGCTTCCTCATTATAAGGCAGTTACAAAACTTGGCAACCGCTTCAATAACTGCTATATTTTGTGAAGCCAATAAACAGTACAACCTTCTATAATCGGATTGCTTGGCATCATTCTTCAGAATATCTTCTAGATAGGCTTCCCGAATGTCATCATACAAACTACAGTGGAGGAATACATGTTCGATTGTTTCAATCTCCTCTGAATCACAATCACAGAACCTTACAGAGTAGGGGATTTTCTTAAATCTTCCTGCTAAAACCGCAGAGGGGAGCACATTAAATCGGGCCAGCATAAATGCTCTACGCAGCTGTGGGGAGGTCAGATCCTCAGCTCCCACTAGAGATCAGGGCCTTGCGGGACCTTTTACTGTTCCGCAGGGCCTGCAAAATGGAGCTGTTCCGCCAGGCCTTCAAGTGAGGTGGCGGGGGTCCATCTTAGTTGGCCTCCCTGCTTTAGCTATCAATCTAGTAGTAGTAGTATCCCGCCCTCCCCGCTTTGGTGGGCTCAGGGCTTGCCAAGTCCCCCCGGGGGGCGGGGAAACCCCCGCCCCAGAGGCCCGTTCCCCGCCGACGGCGGATCGGGCCCCGGGGGGAACCCCACCCCAATGTGTGCATCACCCAAAAGGGACGTGACGACGCCGGGCACGCTGGGGGCAGGGCCACGGTCATCCGAGGGAAAACTCTATGGGAGTCCCCCGCTCCGGCGAAATTTTGACTTGGTAACCCTACTTGGGGTGGCTAACAACATAGATATAAACAAATACATTAAAACGCCAATTTGTATACTAAAACCAACATTCCGTTAAAATTCCAATATAAACTATAAATACTGAAAGTTCTGACTTCATCTATATAGCCCTAACAGTCCTCCTTTTATGAAAATTCCTGCTACCTCTGAATTTTACTGTTTTAATGATTTTAATGTAATGTGATTTTATTGTAATGAGTCTATGACTCTGTGATCTGTCCTGAGCCTGTTTGGGGAGGGCAGAATTTAAAAAAATCCAAAAATGAAAATAAAATAAATAAAGGAGTCATGGTTTAAAACTAGCTTCAGTTACATGTGATGTACAGATGCACAGACTCACAGCTTAACTGGTACCTGTTCTTCACCTGCAACCCATGATTCTAAATCTGCACTGAACCATAGTTTTTAGCATCCCGGCTTGTGGAGGGGACAATCAACTCTGGTTAAATGGTGTGCCATTAGTCATGTATCACAGGTAACCATGGTTAATTTTAAGAACATAACATAAGAACAAAAGAGATGTGAATGTTGGATCAGGCCAAAGGCCCATCCAGTCCAACACTCTGTATCACACAGTGGCCAGAAATACCAGTGCCATCAGGAGGTCCACCAGTGGGGCCAGGACATTAGAAGCCCTCCCACTGTTGACCCCCCCCAAGCACCAAGATGACAGAGCATCACTTGCCCCAGAGCCCCTATCTATACCTTGTGGCTAATAGCCACTGATGGACCTCTCTGCTCCATATGCTTATCTAATTCCCTCTTGAAGCCGTCCATGCTTGTAGCCGCCACCACTTCCTGTGGCAGTGAATTCCAAGTGTTAATCACTCTTTGGGTGAAAAAGTACTTCCTTTTATCCATTCTAACCCAACTGCTCAGCAATTTCATGGAGTTCTTGTATTGTGAGAAAGGGAGAAAAGTACCTCTTTCTCTGCCTGCTCTTTCCCATGCATAATCTTGTAAACCTCAATCATGTCACCCCTCAGTCGTCGTTTCTCCAAGCTAAAGAGCCCTAAGCGCCTTAACCTTTCCTCATAGGGAAAGTGTTCCAACCCTTTTATCATTCGAGTTGCCCTTTTCTGCACTTTTCCCAAAGCTATAATATCCTTTTTAAGGTGTGGTGACCAGAACTGCACACAGTATTCCAAATGAGGTCTCACCATTGATTCATGTAGGGGCATTATGATATGGGCTGATCTGTTTTCAATAGCCTGTTTTTAAATCAGAGTTCCTTCATCACCGTTCACACAGAAGGGAGGGGAAAGGCGGGCGAAGCACAAGCCAAGAAGCAAGAAGCCAGCTTCAATTTTGACTTGACATAATGTTTGAATGTAGCGAAAGGCTAGTGACAACTAATCCCAGAGGTTCCTGTTCTGTTTCTTTCAGTCTGACTCTGTTGCAACTAACTTTTTTGCTAGTTTGGGTCCACTGTATGTATGAGAAACTGCCTGGATAGAAACTATTTTTAAAAAAAATAATTTATAAACATCAAAGGATGCAAATATCATAATTATTAGATGAATATTTATTATCTAATTTTTAAAAATATTTAGTGCCTCCTGACTGAAATCATTCAAAACTCTGGATCCTTCTGGTCTAGGCTGGCCCTTTGGTACATATTGTACATAATGATGTGTGCTTTTGTTATCATTTGTGCTGGCAGGTTTTCATTAGTTAATATTAGCTAGGCTGTGTTTAGATTCTGGTCAACTGAAGAGCCCATCCATTGACTACAGTTGTTTGGCAGGGTACAAAACCTTTATCTTGGAACTAGTTCAAGAAGGTGGGTCCAGTTTGGTGTAGTGGTTAGGAGCGCGGACTCTAATCTGGGAGAGCCGGGTTTGATTCCCCACTCCTCCACTTGCAGCTGCTGGTGTGACCTTGGGTCATTCATGAGTTCTTTCAGAGCTGTTCTCTCAAGGGCAGTTCTCGAGAGAGCTCTCTCAGCCCCACCTACCTCACAGGGTGTCTGTTGTGGGGAGGGGAAGGGAAAGGGATTGTAAGCCACTCTGAGACTCCTTTGGGTAGTGAAGGGTGGGGTATAAATCCAATCTCTTCTCTCCTTCCTCTCAGACACTGTTCCTCACATGGCATCCAGGGCTCTTTTTGTAGCAGGAACTCCTTTGCATATCAGGTGACACACCCCCTAATGTAGCCAATCCTCCAAGAGCTCACAGAGCTCTTCTTACAGGGGCTACTGTAAGCTCTTGGGGGATTGGCTACATTAGGGGGGGTGTTGCCTAATATGCAGAGGAGTTCCCGCTACTTTTGCCACCACTCGGGTTGCCAGCTCCGGGTTCAGAAATACCTGGAGATTTGGGGGGGTGGAGCCTAAAGAGGGGGAGGTTTCGGGAGAGGGGGACTTCAGTGGGCTGTAATGCCATAGAGTCCACCTTCCAAAGCAGCAGTCTTCTCCGGGTGAACTGCTCTCTGTCGCCTGGAGATGAGTTGTAATCCCAGGAGATCTCCAGCTACCCCCTGGAGGTTAGTAGAAAAGAGTCAGTGGCAACCCCGTGTTCTCTTTGGTTATCCTTACTCCACCTGGAGGCTGTACTCTAAGCTGTAGAGTCTCCTGAGCAAAATTTCTACTCGGTGAGCCACTGGCATGAAAGTTGTGAGCGAGCGATTTGGCTGCTGCATAAATCAGTCTGCTCTGGAGCCCTCCTTCCTGAGCGGAGACAAACAATGTGTGAGCCGGAGGCTGAAAAACACACGAACTAGCTCACACTAACTCAGCTTAGAGGGAACACTGGCTGCCACTAGTATTTTAGGACGGACAAGGTCAACTCAGTGTTTTGAATATGTAGCCATTCTAGGAGCATCTGCATACATGTGCTATCCCTTTATACAATGCAGAAGGTTCAGTGGGGGGGGGGGGCTAGTTCAGAGGTTCAGGACTTCGGGCGGGGGCACCAAGCCGCTTCTGTAATCTTTGTGCCAATATTGGTGCCAAAGGCAGTTTAAGAAGCTACAGACCATTTTAAGAACAAAAAAAAGATGAGGAATGGATGCATTTTGTAGAGAATTTGGTTTTCTTTATTGTTTTTTAAGTGACCAAGGTTCCTTTCCATGATATGAAGGCTTTGATCTAGAGACAGCATGTAAGACCTAACTTGGCCATAGGACTGGAAGATTTGGCTCCTTCTATGTGGTAACTAGAGGCCGTAGGGTAGAGAATTTTTATTAACTGGTTTTTCTGTTGTTTTTCTTCTCTTCCTCCTGCTTTGTGACACTCTTGGATTTCCCAGGTCTCCAAGGTCAATGGTATCACTCGAATGTCATCTCCGAGTACAAACACAGCCAGTGCCAAAAAGATGAGAGAAGTCAGACCTTCACCGTCCAAAACTGTGAAGTACACTGCAACTGTGACAAAGGGAACTGTCACATACACCAAAGCCAAGAAAGAACTGGTCAAGGAAACCAAACTAAATCACCACAAACCCAGTTCACCCGTCAACCACACAATCTCAGGGAAAACGGAAAGTAGCAATGCAAAAACCCGCAAACAGGTGCTATCCCTTGGAGCGGCCAAGCCCAACAATACCGCGGTTAACGGTGTCAAGGTCAATGGCAAGTTGAACCAAAAGACATGCACTAAGGAGGTAGGGAGGCAGTTGAGGGAGGGGCTACGCAATTCAAAAAGGAGGCTGGAAGAGGCAAACCACATCGACAAAACGCAGTCCCCAACCAAGAAGTTAAAGGGCACGGTCAGCGTGACGGAAGCCCCGAGCAAAAAGGCCCCCGCGGAGAAGCCTTTGCTGAACGGCCACGTGAAGAAGCCTGGGAGTCAGGAAGTGCCACAGAAAAGTCTGGAAAGGAACAGGCCGAAGAGAGCCGCCGCCGGGAAGACCACGCCAGGGAAACAAGCACATAACAAAACTGAAAATGCCTCCTGTGAAAATCATTCTACCTCTCAAACGGAGTCCTTGCACAAGCCACACGACTCAGTGGGGAAGCACGAGAAGGGGGGGGTCGTCAAGTCCGGGTGGGCCACGATGGAGGAGATTCCCATCCTCAGGCCTTCCGCGAAGGAGTTCCACGACCCGTTGATATACATCGAGTCGGTTCGTGCTCAGGTCGAGAAGTTCGGGATGTGCAGGGTGGTCCCTCCTCCCGACTGGAGGCCCGAGTGCAAGCTCAACGAGGAGATGCGGTTTGTGACCCAGATTCAGCACATCCACAAGCTGGGCAGGCGCTGGGGGCCCAACGTGCAGCGGCTGGCCTGCATCAAGAAGCACCTCAAATCTCAGGGCATTACGATGGATGAGCTTCCACTCATAGGTGAGTGTTTCGGACTCCTTTGCCGTTCGCAACTGTGGGCAACCCTGAAATCTGTTCTTCGGGTTCTGTTTGAGTCGCTGCCTTGTGAAAGCTGAAAGGGCACCAGGCACGCAGGGATGCTTTTTTGCAGGAGTCATTTCTTGCGGGAGCACACAGGAGCGGAGCTCCGGCAGTAAAGAGCCCAGGGGGCGGGCACATGCAACAAGCCCCACCCCCTGCTCCCAGCAGCCCTCAGTCAGAGCAAGAAGCAGCCAGGTAAGTTGCAGAGCTCCCCCTGGTCCCCCGGTCCAAAACAGTCCAGTGGCACCTTTAAGACCAAGTTTTATTCAGGTACAAGCTCTCCCTCCTCTGCGAGGACAGATTTGCACGTTCCCCCCCCCCCAATAGCTAGCAATCCAAAACAGTCCAGTGGAGCCTGAGCGGTGGGTGTTGCCTTCTGATTTCAGGGGGTGTGGCATATGCAAATAACTTATGCTAATGAGTCCCTGCACCTCGTTTTTGACGAAATGACCCCTGTTTTTTTGTAATCTGATTCCCTTAGGTGCAATGCTCCCTCTAAGCTATGGAGTCCTGTGAGCAAAAATTCTACTTTGTGAGCGACTGGCATTAAAGCTGTGACCAGGTGATTTGGCTACTGCATAAATTAGTTTGCTCTGGAGCCATCCCTTCCTGAGCGAAGGCAAATATGTCTGAGCCGGAGGCTAAAAAACTGTGAGCTAGCTCACACCAACTCAGCTTAGAGGGAACACTGCACAGGTGCCTTCATCTTTCTTCACTAGTTGTCAGTAGTTATAGAAAACGAAGCCATCAGATGTACTAAAACATCATTGGTCTTTATTGTACAGTATTAGTATGTTCAGTGTACACACACTAATTTGCTTAGCGCTGTAAATAAATCCAGAAATTTGTTTTTTTCCTTTCTGGCAATCCCTTCTCCTTAAATATCGCACCAGCACATGAACACTGCGTTGATACTGTCTTTAAAGTGATTTCCACAAGCAGCTGAAATCACAATTTTTCAGTAATCTGCAAGCATTTCATGTCTTTACAATAATAAGCATTAAGGGGCCGTTTGGTGCAAAATGATGGTTTCATTCTCTTTCTCAGTAGGTGGCCGCAAGGGTTAGTAGCATCTGGATGGGGCTTGATTTAAGCGAATTGTTAGTTTGCTGTCTGCCACACAAAATTGTGTGTGTGTGTGTGTTAAGAGCATATTAAAAAAAAAAACCCACCCTGTCTGGCAAAAGAACTCTTTTATTAAAGGCACCCTTTGGAAGAACGTCTTCTTTTTAAAAAACTGCTCGTCCCATACACTTTTTAAAAATAATAAATTTCCTTTAGCCTTAATCAGTTTGGATGGCTACAGCCAATTTTAATGGGTGAAGAGAAATTCTCACTAGAGCTGAGAGTTAAGGACATGTCTGTATAATTTTTTATGCTATTTTGGTTCTGGGAAACTGTTAAAGGCAGGCTTCTATTAAAGGCGACCAGTGGTAGCTTCTGTTTATTAAATTCAAAGTGGCCGTGGCTCAGTGGTAGAGCATCTTCTTGGCATGCAGAAGGTCCCAGGTTCAATCTCCAGTTAAAGGCAGTAGGTGATGTGAAGGACCCCTGCCAGAGACCCTGGAGAGGTGCTGCCAGTCAGGGTAGACAATACTGACTTCGATGGACCAAGAGTTTGATTCCGTATAAAGCAGTTTCATGTGGCTGCTTTGGGCGTCAGTCAAAATCTGGAAGCTTAAAGATACCTGAGATTCTAACCTTAATTTTAGTACCTCACCCTTCAGTAGCCCCTGCATGAAGGTTTTGACAATATGCTTTGTATTTATTTTTAATGCATTTTAAACCATTAACTGATTAGTTAAAAGACAGGAGATGATTGACTCAACTCTCTGCTTTCTGATGTTTACTTTAACTCAGGGCTTTTTTTGTGTAGGAAAAGCCCAGCAGGAACTCATTAGCATAATAGGCCACACCCAACAGCAGAAACGCATTACCATATTAGGCCACACCCCCGACAGCACAGCTCATTGGCATATTAGGCCACACCCCCATGTTACCAGACGTGTGTTCATCCAGCCACACCCACCTTTTGCTTCTTATTCTGTTTACCTTGTTTGTTGTCAAAACCCAGGGCCTTTTTTGTAGCAGGAACTCCTTTGCATGTTAGGCCACACACCCCTAATTGTAGCCAATCCTAATGAGTTTCTGTTGGGTGTGGCCTATTATGCTAATGAGTTCCTGCTGGGCGTGGCCAACTTGGAAGCCAGCCGGAACTCCGTTCCTGTGCGTTCCTGCCCAAAAATAGCCCTGCTTTAACCACAGTTAAATGTGCACAAACCCAGCTTGCCCCAGACTTGCATGAACACCTGCTTCTCTGTTTTCTCTGTTCCTTCTTGCACAGAGCAGTGGGTTAAAGTTAACTTGGATTACTCATGACATACATATGCGGGTGCATGTCTGAACCAACGTTAACTTGGTTTCTCAACCTAGCTTTCAACCTGGCTTAGGATCCCAGTTAGTAGAAGGAAAACCAGTTCAGTAAATGTGCCCGCTTGCGTTCATACGTTGTGGATGCTTGAGGTTTTTTTTTACTTCCATTCCTTCATCATGCACTGAGCACATCATGCTGAGGGGGGTGGGGGGGACGTGTGTGCAAATGCCAGGTTTGTGAACATCTTTGTTTTATCCATGCCTAAATTGGACATCTGATTGGATTGTTCTTCTTGGCACCTTACTGTCATTCATTTTAGGGATTGTATTGGCATATGTAGATTTAAGAGAAGATCTTTTTTTAAAATGATACAGAGTTGTACTCAAAATGTCCTTCTGCTCTGATTCAAACATAATGTGTATGTTATGAAAGAAATACGTTCTTACACGTCATGGCTTTGTTAATAATATGCCAAACAAGGATGTGCCAGATGCATGTATGAGCTTTAAGGAAAACAAGTTCCATGGTGCTCTGAGCCTGAGATCAATGAAAATGTTGTCGTCAGCAGCAGCAAAATGTCAGTTTAAGCCCTACTATGCAAAATAGTCCTGGTATAACCAGTGACAGTCCTCCCAAAAAGCCACTTCCAGTGAGTTCTGAACAGGTAAAATAGGTTTCGGATTTTTAATGTAAGATAAACACAAAAGCAATTAGTAGAGAGACTAACCTTTCTCACTGTACTGCCTTACCCTGTGTGGCTCTTCTCTTGTTTGGAGCGGTTTGCGGTAAGAAACTGTGTTTGACTTACCTTGTGTGAAACAAGGTAAGTATCCCGCTTGCGAGGTAGGGCGGGATACCAGTCACAATAAATAAAGCATGTATGTCTTACGTTTTATTATTAATGTCTTACAAATTGGCCGCTTAGCTGACATCCACTGACATCGTGGTGGGCATTTTTAGTAATATCAGTAACTTGCTCATACTAAGTTGATGCCATATATTTCAGTTTTCAGTTATTTCAGATCCAGGACAGTGTATGTATCACTGAAGCTGGTAGGTTCACCCATTACAAACCCAGTGGTTACATTCTAGCAGGTGTCCTTGAACCACAAAATCCTCACTGAGTCGAAAGGGGTTTGAAATACCCTATTTGCCTGAAAGGAAGGCTAGATATTTTCCCCCAAGAGTGCTGTTAAAAAGAAGAAAAAAAGGGAGTGTTAAATTCTCATACAAATTACAGGTATATACGGTAGATCCAGGTGGGTAGCCATGTTGGTCTGAAGCAGTAGAACAAAGTTTGAGTCCGGTGGCACCTTTAAGACCAACAAACTTTTATTCAAGGTGTGAGCTTTCGTGTGCAAGGCACACTTCCTCAGATAACGGTAGTAAATCATTTTGAGTACAACATTTTTTTAGAGCGATTGTCTAGGGCTGCCAAGTGGGGGCGGGTGAACCCCCACTTCGGAGGCCCGATTTCCGCCGCTGCGGAATCGGGCCCCGGGGGGAACGCCCCCCCCCCCGAAGCGCAGTGTGGCTGCATCACTGGAGGTAATGTGACCACGTCAATCACGTTGGGGGTGTGCCCCCGATCGTCGGAGGGAAAACTCTATGGTTTTCCCTCCGACGATCGGGGCCACGCCTTCAACGTGATCGACGTCGCGCGTCACTTCTGGTGACGTGCTGGTGGCGCGCGTGCGCGCACGTCAAAGAACGGCTCCCGGAGCCCAGCGAGGCTCCCCCGCCGGTAACAACATTTCTCTTGGCAACCCTACGATTGTCTTATGTTCCGGATTTTCTTCCTTTTGGATAAATACAGTATAAACCTTACCTAAATCTTCCACATAACTAATGTGGGAATATTTCAAACAAACAGTGGGCTCAACTGGAGACCTGCCATAATATTCATCCCTCATAACCTGCAGGGATGGTCTTCACCATTTTCCCAACCAAGTGCAAGGGGTCCTTCCTGCTTGTCAAAGTGCCCAGTATGAGAAAGAGATAAACTAGACACAGCAATACAGAAACAGACTTTTAACTATTTATGGCATACGATGTCTGTGTTTTGGGGGGGTGTTTTTGGTAGAGTTAAAGATCGGAACACAAGTGATTTGTGTTTGTTTGCTTTTTATCCCGGTCTGTGCCTTGACCTTCCATCTTGCCTTAGGGTACAAAGGTGTTCCTCTCTAATTAGGAATAATGATTAGGCAGCACAAGTTTTCCTGATCTATAGCATGCCTCAGATCCTTGTGAAAGCGCTACCTGTTTTTCATTAGAACTGCTCACCTAAGTGAACAACGACCTTTGCAGTTTTGTAGCATGTAGCCGACGAAATAGAACTGGAATTTTTTAAGGCCTTGTCTCTTACTTCCCTGTACCCCAAACAAGGCCCCAAGAGATTTTTCCCACTTTTTCCTACTGAATATAAGCAAAGACGATCTAAGCCCTTCTGTTGCTTTTTAAAATCCCTAGCCATAACTGTATGCAACCTGAGAACTTTGAAAACAGCATGGCTCCAGAATAAAGTTTGAGTCCAACGGCACCTTTAAGACCAACAAAGTTTCATTTGGGTTTTTTACACACACACACACACACACACACACACACACACGAATTGTGACTGTTGCTGGGTCCTAGTAGATTATTTTGCTGGCCTTAATTTTTAAGACTCAACGGTCTGCAGAAATAAATTTTAGACCTTTATATCTGTGATTCTTGCTAGTAAGTCTCCTAATTCAATGTGGACTGTTGCTACCTTTACCTCATACCATCACAAACACTGTTCTGAGACTCAGTCAAAGGTTTGTTTAAGCTTTATGGCAGGTAATACAGTTTATGTCGCACACATTTCCCCCCTTGACTCAACCCTCTGGGAAGGAGACTTGGAGTTTTGCTGATCTTACACGTTTTACAACTAAAAGCAAATGGGTAGCAAAAACTGGTTTTACTTAAGGGGCAGACATCATAACCGTTGCTCAGAAAAACTTGCCAGGCCTCATTAAATTCTGAGGTGCTGTGGTCCTATGTTGGAGAATGTGGCCCTGAGCAATTCCATCTTTTTCTTTTTTAATGGTGTGACTGGTTGAAACAGTATAGTTGAACATTCCCTTGGAGGTGAGAGATTTTAGTCTTCCCTTCTACCCCACCCTAAGGTATTCCAACAGCGGATAATCAGACCAAATTAATTATCTTACTAAACCTGAGCTTCTATGGGTAGATCTGGGGCTGACATTTTTTACATTGCTGCTTGATAAGCATAGTAACTAATGGATTGGTCCAGTCATTTCTCCGGGGAGAGAGAGAGAGAGAAAGAAAGTGGGTCATTTAATTGCATAAAACCCGATCACAGAGAGACGCTCTGCATTTTATTGAGCAAACCAGTGCTTTATGTGAGATATAGGTTTTACAAAGTATGTCCTGTACGTTGTCTAGCACAATATTAATGATTAGTAGTGGCAACCGAAACCAATTTGGAGCCGATCTGTGTTGTGTAGCTGACACTTGTAATGGCATTGGCCAAAAGAGCAAGGGGTTGTCTTGAAAATAAGCTGTAAGGTTTAATTTTGCACCAGTCACATTCTGTAATGTAACACTTGAAAGGTTGTTGGCTGGTTTTGTGGGGAAAGGGAAGGTAGCACTTTGTTTCTAAGGATGCCGAGGAAAGGAACACGAAAAGAACTTGTGTTGAGCATCGTCATTCAAGAGAAGCCCTGGAAACTAGCACTCACTAGCATACGGTATTAGATGAAATAATCCGCTTAAGCAGGTTCAAATGTTAGCACTCCGGCAGAACTGCTGGTGGAGATCGACCCCTTTGGCACATTCCATATGGATACATAAAAGTCCCTAGATGTGTGCAGAATCATGTTTAGCAGCCCCCCAAAGTAGTTCAGTGCTGGAATGGGGCACTGTAGGCACTGTGAATGCGTGGTAGAAGAAGCATTACATGTGAACACGAAGAACGCTGCTACAGTCAATAGGTTTTCCATCTGTCTTGACAATGTGATATGTGCAGTTCCGTTTGATCAGGCTCTAGAACTCAGTGGTCAAAGACCAAAACTTGAAATTAAAGATTCAAATGGAATCATAATGCAAATGGAATCATAATGCAAATAATTATTCAGATGCAACCCCCCCCCCACTTTCTCTGTGCTATGGTTGTCATGACGTTTCAACTGTCCATCTCCCTCTTTGAACTTTTGAGAGGGATAATCCCCTGCGGGGCAGATTCTGTTTGGCCGGTCCGATGGTTGCCCAGTGCATTGTGGTCCTGTTTGATGAGCAAAGCAATAATACTAGCTCCTATGGAAAGCATTGGAGCAGTAGGGTTGATTTACTTTTCTTCAGGTGGCCTAATTCCAGAAAATGTCACAGAAGTTATGTTTGTGAGTACTGTTGATTGTTTGCTAGTCTCAGGGCCAAGCCAGACAGTGTCCTAGGGATTCCGTGATTGGAGTTTCCAGCACTTTTAGTGCAATTATCAAGCTAGTGGGAGCCTGAATCCGTTAGGGATTACAGTGCACGGAAAGGATGGAAGAAGGGCTGGATTGCCCCACCACCATTTTTCTGCTCAAAAATGGCCCTGGGGAGGTGATATTTGCTCCCCTGGAGAAACATATGGGTACTCATATACCAACGGGGCAAATAACCAGGGGTCATTTGGGGGGGACGCCATCCCCCCGGGTGAGGTGCGGGAGGGCGGGCCCTGGAGCTCCCTGCTGGTGCCCGCTGGAGGTCGCCGCCGGCTGTGGGGAGGACACACTTCCGGTGATGTCAGGGGGTGTGGCATATGCTAATGAGTTATGCTAATGAGTCCCCCTAGCTCTTTTTCTACGAAACGACCCCTGCAAATAACAGATGTCCAGACTCATTTCAGACTGGGGAAATGCCTTGAGAGAACTAGGCCTTTAGTGAATATTCCTCCTAACCATCTCGTCTTTTTCCTCCTTTCCCTTCCTGCTGTGTATGGCTTTTGTGGACATCCAGGAGGCTGCGAGCTAGATTTGGCCTGCTTTTTCCAGCTGATCAATGAAATGGGGGGCATGCAGCAAGTTACTGACCTCAAGAAATGGAACAAACTGGCAGACATGCTGCGGATCCCTAAAACTGCACAGGACAGGTTAGCAAAACTGCAGGAGGCCTACTGCCAGTACTTGCTCTCCTACGACTCCCTCTCTGCCGAGGAGCACAAGAGACTGGAGAAGGAAGTTCTCTTTGAAAAGGAGGTCCTGGAAAAGCGGAAAGGCCCTCTGGAGGTACATTTGGATAACAACTACGAGTTCCAGCCTCTGCCCCGATACGAGCCCAAAAATGGACTCATCAACGGCGTGGTTCATAAAAACGGCTTCCGGAACAAGGCGAAAGAGATCGAAGTCCCACAGAAGACGGGCCGGCGGCGACTCTTCTCTCAGGAAAAAGAGACCGTGAAGGAAGAGGAGGAAGATAAAGGTGTTTTTAGTGACCTCCACAAATGTGTATATAAGGTAAGCCAGAAGCCTTCACCTTTGGGGCCTTGCTGAGAAAAGGAAACTCAAAATGCAAACTATTTTCCCTCGCCATGCCAGGTCTGATTTAGTGCAAACGGTGGGTTTGGAACGTTTCATGCCTCCTGACATTGAGCGCAGCCATTTGCAAAGGAATGTTGACTTCTCCACTCAATTTGATTTGGCAGGCCTCACCACTATTAAGCAGGAATTGGCTCCGCTGCTTGCTGTGTAATTGTTAGCAAGGATGAATTTAGTAAGTGAGGCTGAAATGCAGAGAGGGAGAGGGGAAGAAGTACAGTGTTTATTACGCTGGGGCCTGTGTGCAGCGTACAGTGCTGTTTTTTTCCATCGCACCTCTCTCTCCCATGACATCGAAAGGATTACAATAATAATAATAAATATGAGTTGGAAAGCTTTTCCCCCTCTAAAATTAGGTGATTTCTTGGGCCTTTGCAGAAGCTGTCTATCATTGAGAACGGAGGCCCATACGCCGCAGCTCCAGTGCCAGTTTTTATTTATTTGCACGCTCGCGTCCTTCCCTTTCTCTGTGGAAGGGAGCCCGGGCCGTGCGCATGGGGTGATCATCCTCTCCATTACAATTGTAGGGTGTACGTTAACACGAGCGAGTGTGGCTTGGTCAGGGGGCCCCCCGAGTGGCCTCGTTCCAGACTTGGGATTGTCTCCAACCTCAGCAGCACTAGCCGGTAACACGGGCTCCTCATTATTGCTTGTGGATTGTCAACCCAAGCAGTGTGTTTGGTTTGGGCATGCATCTCAGAATTGTGGCTGGGCATGGTTTTTAAAACTCACAGGAGTCCAGACCGGGGGGTGGGATCCAGCACCACCCCTCCTCACAAACTAGCTTTTTTAAAAAGATCGTCTTTTATTAAATAATGGGTTGAAATATATACTCTGTCACCACTTCAGATGTATCTAGTTCTTTTTTGGCTTTCATTTGTTTGATCTTGATTTTTACATCAGTATATGTTCATTGATGGTTATTTCATTATTTTGGAATAATTTGAACCTTATTGCAGCAATTTCTTGTTCACTATTCTTGCTACTCCTATTTTGCTGTGCCCTTTGTTGTATTCTCTATCTGGTACCTTCTTGACATCTTTTCCCCCTGACTATACAGGTAACTCAGTCCCAAGAGCAGTAGGGTATGGCACTGGGTACCCTCTGCGGCCTCACAGCCAGCAGCAACCCAGTTTCCAGAGGGTTTGTACCTTCGTTGACAGGAAGTTAGGAGGGCCGCGGTTAGGAGGGAGCAAGAGGACTCTTGTAAAACCACTCTGCCCTGTTACAGGATCGGCATGATTCAGTGTTTATACAGCCATTTGTAATACACTTTAGATTAATTATTTGGAAAAGTCATCCTGCAGGTCCAAAAGAGAGCAATGAAAAAACGTTCCTCAAAAACGCACACAATAATTGTGACCCTTTTGTAATTTTGTGTGGCTGTTATTATTTGTTCTTTGAATTGTGAAGTCTGTTTCTGCTGGACCCACCCAGCGATGAGAGTGGCCGAATGTGCAGAGCTGTGCATACGCGAGAGCCAGTTTGGCGTAGTGGTCAGGAGCACGGACTCCAATCTGGGAGAACCGGATTTGATTCCCCCATGCCTCCACATGCAGCTGCTGGTGTGACCTTGGGTCAGTCACAGTTCTCTCAGAGCTGTTCTCTTAAGGGTGGTCCTCGAGAGAGCTCTCAGCCCCACCTATTTCACAGGGTGTCTGTTGTGGGGAGGGGAAGGGAAAGGAGTTTGTAAGCCACTCTGAGATTCCTTTGGACAGTGAAGGGCGGGGTATAAATCCAACCTCCTCCTTCTCCCACCCCCCCCCCCCACAGTTTGAATGGAACTTGCAGGAGGCGGAGCCCCTGGCACTGCTTGGTTCCTGCAGAACTTCCTTGAAGTTAATTTATACTGTGATTTTTAATGTGACTAATGGCTTTTTGTCCATGCCCAGTTCAGCTGTATAGTTTGCTGCTCCTCATCCTTAGATGCCATGATCTTCTGTTCAGCCACGAGGAAATGCATGGTTGTTTTCAGTTGTACATGTTGCTGCTTTCACCAAAATTTTGTGTTTCATAGGGGAGTTGACCAATGCTCCCTCTAAGCTGTGGAGTCTTGTGAGCAAAAGTTCTACTCAGTGAGCTACCGGCATTAAAGTTGTGAGCGAGTGATTTGGCTCCTGCAGAAATTGGTTTGCTCTGAAGCCATCCCTTCTTGAGTTAAGACAAAAATGTGTGAGCTGGAGGCTAAAAAACTGTGAGCTAGCTCACACTAACTCACTTTAGAGGGAACACTGGAGTTGACTGGATTCCTGGAGTCACAGTACAATCCTAGGTAGGATTCCCCCAGTGTAAACCCATTGATTTAGTGGGTTTCAGCTGGAGTAACTCTTCACAGGATCGTACTGTCAATCTCTCCCTTTCTGGTACGACTAAAGAGGGCGTAGGGCTGGTTGCAGTAGTGTATGCGGACCATTGTAGTTCTGTTTTCTTTGGCCAAACTCAGTTATGCAGAAGATAAACTATATCTATAGAGCTAAATATATAAGTAATGACTAATCCCGTCATATCCCCGCCCATAAGTAAACAACCCATGCCCTTATAACAGGAGGCTACAAAACAAATTGAAATTAGCAGGGGGAGGGGTATTTAGTCCGCTGCAATCAAAGTTGGTCGGGGGGGGGCGTGGGGCTGGGTTGTCACCATATCAGTATGCTGAAATGTCCCCTCTAAGCTGTGGAGTCGTGTGAGCAAAAATTCTACTTTGTGAGCTACTGGCACTAAAGTTGTGAGCGAATACTTTGGCTCCTGCATAAATTAGTTCGCTCTGGAGCCCTCCTTCCTGAGCCAAGACAAAAATGTGTGAGCCAGAGGCTAAAAAACTGTGAGCTAGCTCACACTAACTCAGCTTAGAGGGAACACTGCTGATGACACCCAGTTGTATCTGCTGATGGATGACTGGCTGGATGCCACCCCAGATGTTTTTGGCCAGGGTTTTGGAGGCCATCACTGGTTCGTTTAAGCAGAGTTGACTGAAACGGAATCCCTCAAAGACGGAGGTCCTGTGCTTGAGCCGTGGGGGTGGGGAGTTGGGAATCCAGCCTCCCAACCCTTGGCGGAGTATCATCGATGCCAGCGCCGATGATGAAGAGTCCGTACGTGAACTTGGATGCCTCGCTTTGAAGGGAGGCCCAATTCACAAATGTTGTCAGATCGGCGTTTTACCGTCTTCGGCTAGGTCAGTGCCCCACCCCCCCCCCCCCCCCGTGACTTGGTCACAGTGATCCACGCAACGCTGCCCTTGAAATTGACCTGGAAACTGCAGTGGGTGCAAAATGCAGTGGCGCGTATCCTCAGTGGGACACCCCAAAGAGCACCCATACGACCAGTGCTCCATCAGCTCCGTTGGCTTCCAATTGAGTACAGGATCACGTTCATGGTTATGGTGTTAACCTTTAAAGCCCTGAGCAGCAGTGTTCCCTCTAAGCTGAGTTGGTGTGAGCTAGCTCACAGCTTTTTAGCCTCCGGCTCACACATTTTTGTCTCAGCTCAGGAAGGAGGGCTCCAGAGCAAACTGATTTATGCAGGGGCCAAATCATCTGCTCACAACTTTAATGCCAGTGGCTCACCAAGTAGGATTTTTGCTCACAAGACTCCACAGCTTAGAGGGAGCATTGCTGAGCAGTACGGGACCCACCTATCTGCAGGACCGCCTTTCCCAGTATGTCCATCGAAGAGCCTGACGCTCTGCAGACCAACATCGGCTGGTGGGCCCCAGCCCAAAGGACATTTGCTTAGCCTCAACCAGAACCTTTTCAGCTCTGGCTCCAGCCCGGCGGAACACTCTCCTAGGTGAGGTCAGGGCCCTGCGGGACCGGTTACGGTTCCGACGGGCCTGCAAAATGGAGATGTCCCACCAGGCCTTTGTGTGAGGCAGTGGGCGTCTGAGGACATCAGCCTCCCCTCCTCTGCCTGGCATCATTTATTTGTTGGGTTGCGGCTGACCCACTTGCTCAGGTTTTGGATCCCATTGGAACACCCAGTCAGGTAGTTAATTCAGGGATTTTATGAACTGTATTCATTGCCATCTCGTTGTAGTAAATTTAATTAATTGTCCTACATTTTTTTTACAACTTTATTTCGGCTTGCATGACCAAAAGTCTTAAGCACACTTGTACACACTTATAAAAGTACCATTCATACATAAAAAGGAAAAAAACAAACAAACAAAAACAGTGAGATGCATTGTGCAAATATGAGTGTGTTACACTAAATGGGATCGTCAGACAGAGTAAATCCTCAAACAGGTACACAGAGCATAAAATCAGAAAGATTTGGACTTTCCCCTCCTTTTCCCTTTTTTTTTTGTTTGCCACCAGGGCCAGTAATGTGGCTACTGCTTTGGTAACTAAATTATCAACTTTATCAGATAAGAGAACAGAAGTTGACCAGGGCAGGGAGGGAAGCTTTCCTTTTATCAAGATGGGTATAATATACTTCTGCCTCTCCATATTCCAGTTGGGGCAAAGCTAGCAAAATATGATCCATCGTCTCCACCCTACCTTGATTACAATCGCATGTCCGTTCAGAGAATGCCATGAAAGCGGCCAAAGACTATGTTCGACGGGAACATATTCAATCTAGCCAATGTGAAGGCTCTACAAAGTGCTGGACTTTTAAGAGTGTAGTCCTACATTTTTAAAGGTTGGCATTATTGCATAATAACTGTTCGTGATCATGGCCGTAATCCGCCCTGAGCCCTGCTGTACGAGGGAGGGCGGACTGGAAATCAAGTAAATAAATGAAATACCCAAGAGTTTTGCAACAAGAAAGGCTGCGACGTTCCCTTCTTTCTGCCCCAGTCAGTCAGCCCTCTTCCATCTTGCTGGGCACCCTGTGGGCTCCCAAGGTCTCAGAATGGGAAGAGGAGGTGGGAGATCTGCTCTCTCAGTTAGAGCAGGGTCTGCCTCTTTCCTTCTTGGCCTGTTGTGGAGCCCACCTTTTATGGGGTGTGTAAACCCTGCTCTCTCATCTAAACCACCCAATCACCCTGCCCTCCTGGCTGCCCTCCAGGCAACCATACCTGCCGGTGGGTGAGGGATACTCCTCCCCATCCTGTCCCCTTCTGATTGGTTGCTCACCCTGCCACTTGCTGGCCTTCTGCTGGCTTCCCCAGGAGGTTGGCTGAACCTGGTCAACCTTCCTCCTGGCTAGGCCCCCCTTCGCCTTGACCCCACCCTTGCAAGGAGTTTGCTGCCAGTGGTGGCCCCAGAGTATCCAAGGCCTGCCGTCAACTAGATCCTCTAGAAGAAGAAGAAATTGGATTTATACCCCGCCCTTCACTACCCAAAGGTGTCTCAGAGCGGCTTACAAACTCCTTTCCCTTCCCCTCCCCACAACAGACACCCTGTGGTAGGTGGGGCTGAGAGAGCTCTTGACAGAAACTGCTCTTTTTCAAGGACAGCTCTTATCAGAACTACGGCTTGCCCAAGGTCATCCAGCCAGGTGCAAGTGGAGGAGTGGGGAATCAAACCCGGTTCTCCCAGGTTAGAGTCTGCACACTTAACCACTACACCATACTGGCTCGCTATAGGAGTTTTGTAGCAATTCCTATCAAGGAGTGTGCAAAAATAATAATAATCCAGTATCTGTATTTCCCAACATTCCCAAATCCCAATATTGGTATGGTATTGGGATATGGTAAATATTAGGATTGCCAAAAAAAATTCAACTCCATTATATCCTATAGGGACCATTATAGTCAATGGTACCGACAGGCTATAAGGAAGAATCGAGCTGGGGATATCTGGGACTGGGGTGTGTGTGTAAGGTACAGGCACCAAATTTTCAGCATAGCTGCTGGTGCCTCTCCTCAAAATACCCCCCAAGTTTAAAAAAGATTGGACCGGGGGTCCAGTTCTATGGGCCCCAGAGGTAGGTGCCCCCATCCTCCATTGTTTCCAGTGGAGGGAGAAAGGAACATTTAAAGGGAACATGGTCCCTTTAAATGCTTTTTGCAAGCTGCGACTGAACTCCAAAGGCATTTAAAGGGCTCACGGTCCCTTTAAAAGCTTTCTCCAAGTGGCAAGTTCACCCGGAAGGTGTTTAAAGGGACTGTGAGTTTTTAAAAAGCCTTCCAGGTGAACTCGCTGCAGAGTCGGGCAGCTTGGAGAAGGCATTTAAAGGGACTGCAATCCCTTTAAATGCCCTTTAAGTTTGGCTATCAAACAGCCCCTAAAATCCCAAATATGTTTGGGATTTTCAGGGCTTGGCCATTTTGGATAGCCATAATTGAGCCCCATTTGGTAACCACCTTAAAAGTACCAAAAAAATAAGGTATTTTCCGGGTATTTTTTGGCTCTGTTTATGCCAATTGCACATTCCTGTGCAGCTCTCATTCTCCCTCTGTTCATCTTTTGCCTCTGTGGTTGAAATTGGCAGAGTCGGCAAAGCATCACCCTTCGCAGAGCCATATTTGGCCTGCTAAGATGGTGTTGCTTAGGGGAAATTGCCTGGGAGGAGACTTGGGTCTCTGTTAAAGAATTCTTTAATCCTGTAAATAGCTGCAAATGTCTGAATTTGTACTTTTTGCACTGAAATGCTGGAGGAAAAGGCTCTGACTGAAAGGTGCTTGAGGCCCAAAGGAAAACTTGAGAATTTATTTCTGATAAACCTGATCAATAATTTTTTTAAAATACTATTCGGTGCCGGTGTCAGGTCGAACAGCGAGTAATTTTTGAGGAATCCTTTCTGCCTTGAGATGCCTGGCCAAAATCCAGACGGTTGTTTCTTGGTATTTGTTAGACTTCTTTGTTAGCGCTAAATTACAGACACAAGTTTGACAGCTGTTGAATAGCACTTTTCAAGGATGTTTTTTGTTAGACGGCCCCAATAAACAGTTCACATGAGCAGTAAAAGATGAAGGAAATTGCTTGTTTTATTTAAGAGCATGCCACTCTGACATTTAAGAGAGTAAAAGACTCCCTCCTGCACTGGGCATTTTAATGTGTTGTGATAGCTTAATTGCCTTGTGTTCATTTTTTTAACAAGACAACTCCACTCTTTTATGTAGAATTAGTAGGCCAAGCTACGAATTTGACTAGGAACAAATATTCATTTATGTCTAGTTTTCGTCTGGGCTTGGTTTTCTCATAAAGTAAGCCCGGGGAAAAAAATCACGTGTTGTCAGCTCTGTGGCTAGTAGTAATCAACTTGCAGACCTTTGGTAGGATAACTCTTCTTCCACTACTTGTGTGTGGCTCATTTTCCTTCCTGTAATGCGTATCTCTGAGAGATCCAGAATAAAGCAGGGACCCAGTGGAACCTTTAAGATTAACACAGTTATTCCAGCCTAAGATCACAAATCAGAGCTCACTTCATCAGATGCGTTGGAGTATAAATCCGTGAGGCTAATTTTTTTCAAAGAGCTCTTGTTTCATGTAAAGCAAACCAAAAACATTCTAGTCCTATGTTTGCTGAATAAAGGTGAAAGTTGTCATGATGGAACTTTGAAGATAAAGGAATCTGAAGTCAAGTATAAAGCTTTATGCATTGTGCTACTGTGGGTAGAAACATTTCCTTGTGGCTACTCCTTTTATAGAGCAGAAAATCTTACCGCAGCCAGCCAATCGCACCCCCTGCGATAGCCAGCAGGCTTGGAATGGCCAGCATGCTGTAATCTGATTGGCAGCCAATTTATACAGTAGCAGCAGTCAAAAGAGGGGAAAAGCACATCTGAGTAATCTTGACATTGATCACAAGTCTCCCCAGGTTTCCATTTCTAGTTGGAAGTATTTATATTACTGCAGCATTCTGGGGGGGACTGCATGATGACCTGTGGCGAAACATCCCAAATAAAATATTTTGGCTTTCGGAACTCCATCAACAAGGCCGTCGATCATCTTATTTGGTCTGCAAAATTCACCCAGTTGAGAGGAAATTTTTCTGACCTTTCTAGCGTGCCTTCAGCTCTTTCATGAAATCTCTTGAGTAAACACAATCACGGCTGATGTTGTATAACAGGCGTAAATTGACATCTTACTATGATTTCTGTTCCACCCTTGAAATAGTCTACATTGGGGGATTAGGGTTGCCAAGTGAAAAAATTGCCGCAGCAGGGGACTCCCGGCTTGCGGCTTGAGTGCCGCATGCACGTCACCAGGAAGTGACGTGACGACGACGGGCACGCTGGGGGCGGGGCCACGACTGTCCGAGGGAAAACCATAGAGTTTTCCCTCAGATGGTCATGGCCCCGCCCCCAGCATGCCCGGTGGCGTCACGTCACTTCCTGGTGACGTGCACTTGGGGGTGGGGGTTCCTCCGGGGCCCGATCTGCCGCTGGCGGGGAACGGGCCTCTGGGGCGGGTGTTTCCCCGCCCCCCGGGGGGACTTGGCAAGCCTATGGGGGATGGAGCAGGGGAGAGTCCTACCTTTCCATGACAACATGAAATCAAACCCAAGTGTGTCTCAGGGAAGCCCTTTAGAAGCATTTTCACACAGTGGTGCGACCTGCGTCTGTTGTACACATCATTCAGGATACCCAGTTCCCAGGGGCTACGGACAAGGCTCTTCTGCATACTGATCCACTGATGCCGCCCCTAAAATTGATAACAGGAGCGGTGGAAATGGCACAGGATGCACGGAACAAGGAGCCATGGACACCAAGCCGTGTTTGCCGCAACAACCCTCTTTTTGCCAAAGCTTGAGCCCAGTGACACCTTTAAGACCAACAAAGTTTAATTCTGGGTGTAGACTTTCGTGTGCACACACACTAGGGTTGCCAAGTCGTACCTTATCCTGAAGCGGGGGACTCCCGTGTTGATCCTGGAGCATAGAGTTTTCCCTCAGATGACCATGGCCCCACCCCCAGCATGCCCGGCGTGGTCGCATCACTTCCTGGTGACGTGCACGTCGAGGTGGAGATCCGGCGGCGGTGGGGAACGGGCCTCTGGTGTGGGGGTTTCCCCGCCCCCCCAGGGGGACTTGGCAAGCCTAGCACACACATTTCTTTCCAGGCACTCATTTCCAGTATTCCGTATTATTATAAGTTAGGGGAATGTGTAAAAAAACAGCAATTACAATATTTTGTTCCCTTTTTCTTTTATTTTTTTTTTGGTTTGTAGGGAAGGTCTGTTTCGTTAACGGCCTTTTATCGGACGGCAAGGAACGTCATGAACATGTGCTTCAGCAAGGAGCCCACGGCAGCTGAACTAGAGGTGAGGGGTCCCCTGAAATTAGGGAAGGTCTTTACATTGGCTAACGAAAACTGTTTCCTTGTACAAATGAAGAGATCCGACCATCTGTTGCTCTGATGTTCCCTCTAAGCTGTGGAGTCTCGTGAGCAAAAATTCTACTTGGTGAGCTCCTGGCATTAAAGTTGTGAGCGAGTGATTTGGCTGTTGCATGAATTGGTTTGCTCTGGAGCCCTCCTTCCTGAGCTAAGGCAAAAATGTGTGAGCCGGAGGCTAAAAAACTGTGAGCTGGCTCACACTAACTCAGCTTAGAGGGAACACTGGCTCTAACGTGGGGGGGGGGCTAGCTGACTGCACCTTTTCTCAGATCTAGAATATCATTTTTGAGATGGTGTGACCAGAACTATACACAGTATTCCAAATGCACTAGCACGATATATAGGTTTTTTCAATCCATGTCTTAATAATCATAGAACCATAGAGTTGGAAGGGTCCTCAAGGGTCATCTAGTCCAACCCCCTGCACAGTGCAGGACATTCGCTAATACCCCCCCCCCCTACACACACATCCCCTGTGACCCTGTTCCATGCCTAGAAGATGGCAAAAAAATCCTCCAGGATCCCTGGCCAAAAATGGCCTGGAGAAAATTACTTCCTGATGCCAAAGTGGCGAACAGCATTTTCCTGGGCATGTAAGAAAGGGCCAGATGAACTAAGCACTAATGCGACCCTTCCTGCCCTCCCTCTCATGATCTGCCTAACTTCACAGAATCGGCATTGCTGTCAGATGGCCATCTAGCCTCTGCTTAAAAACCTCCAAAGAAGGAGAGCCCCGCTCTGTCAGGAAGTTCTTCCTGATGTTTCGCCAAAAACTCTTCTGATTTAATTTCAACCTGTTGGTTCTGGTATGACCTTCTGGGGCAACAGAAACCAGCTCTGTACTTTCCTCTGTATGGCAGCCCTTCAAGTACTTATCACCTCTCAGTTGTCTCCTCTCCAGGCTAAACACACCAAGCTCCTTCCACCTTTCCTCTTAGGACTTGGTCTCCAAACCCCTCGCCATCTTCATTGCCCTCCTCTGGACACGTTCCAGCTTCTCTGTATCCTCCTTAAATTGTGGTGCCCAAAACTGAACACTACTCTAGGTGACGTCTAACTCCTGCAGAGTAAAGCGATACCATCACTTTGCGTGATCTGGACACTATACTTCTGTTGATACAGACCAAAATCGCATTTGCCTTTTTAGCTACCGCATCACACCGCTGACTCATGTTCAGTGTATGGTCTACTGAGACCCCTAGATCCTGTTCGCACATACTACTGCTAAGACAAGTCTCCCCCAACCTATAATTACGCATTTGATTTTTCCTACCTAAATGCAGAACTTTACATTTATCCCCACTGAAATTCACTTTGTTTGTTTTTAGCCCAGTCATCCTTCGTATAGAGTTTGCTTTGTCACTGCCATACACCTTACCTAGATGGCGTTTGGATTTCATTATGTTTATTTTAAAATGTTTCTGCTCCACACTTCTCTCGCTTCCAGTAAGTCACCAACAACCAGCAAAACAGTATAATAAAAAAAATTCTAATACAAATAATCATACATTCAACAAGTCTGGGGCGGGATAAGTCTGAGCCCTTTCCTCCGGGGCACAGAAGCGTGTGGAACTGAGGAGCCGCGGTTGGGACACTTTCCCCTGGAAGCAGCAGCAGCACACTGCAAAGGCATCTGGAAGGGAAGGCAGAGCCACTGGAAGTTTCTGTCGACGTGTAAAAAATCAGGATTAAATCCGGAGGAGTTAGCAGTCTGTCGCTGCAAAATAGTAAAAAACCCAGTAGCACCTTTAAGACCGACAATCTGACGAAGAGAGCTGTGTTTTCTCGAAAGCTTATGCTACAATAAACGGCTATTTCTGGGCAGGAACGCACAGGAACGGAGTTCTGGCTAGCTTCAGAGTTGGCCACGCCCACTACAGCCAAAACCTCTGCGTGCGTGGCTACAGAGGGAAGGCCTGGAGAGTGACCCCCCAGTGACTCCAAGACGGGCGGGCCAGGGGGGGCTGGAAGGATCGGGGAGGTATTCCCTGGCCTGTACAAGGGCCAGCTGCGGGGCATCCGGGCAAGCGGGGCGCTTCCCTCCAAAGGCTGGCTTGCCCAGGCTCCCCGCAGCCACGCTGTCAGTGGTGTGGCCTAATATGCTAATGAGTTTCTGCTGTTGGGTGTGGTCTATTATGCTAATGAGTTCCTGTTGGGCTTTTTCTACAAAGAAAGCCCTGACAATAAAGTTCGTCGGTCTTAAAGGTGCTACTGGGCTTTTTACTAAAAAAAACTAGGATTGTTTTTGCCCGTAGCTTGTGAGGAATCTCGTTTACCCTTTTGCTGCCCTTTTGCCAGTTCTGACAGATCCTTTTTGGACCTCTTTGCTTTTTGGGAATTCACTATCCTGAATAGCAACGTTGGTGTCATCTGCAGACTTGGCCACTTCACTGCTGCTTGCCCTCGACTCGGGATCGTTTATGAAACGGGTAAATAGCGCCAGTCCCCCAAGACACCCTGGTCGAGAGCTTTGCTGCTTCATTGTGAAACTGGCCGTTCCTTCTTCCTGTTTCTTCACTCAGTTCCCCAACCTGTGGGTCCAAACCCAAAGTGGATGGTGAAGCCTTTGAAAGCAGCTTTTGCGTTTTTATTGTGTGTGCATTGTGATTTGTGCATTAGGTGGGTCACCATACTAGGTGAATTGGGACTTATGGTTCCCCGTACTTAAAAGACGGGGAGCCACTGCTTGAACCCGTCATCTTATCACATGACTGCAAAGTTTACTCAGGAGGCTTTGGCGAGGAACTCTGTGAAAAGCTCTTTGGAGGTCCAAGTATATAACTTTTACCCCAATCTAGAGGTTTGTTGATACTCCTTAATAATTTTAAATGCTGAAGTTGGTTTTTAATTACGCATATTTCCCCCAAAACCTTGTAATAACTAACAGTGCCAAATAGAAACAGCTTATTATACGTCCAAGGAACTGGGTTATAAAAATAAAAGTATTCCCTAGTTACTTTTCTAAATGAATTTTGCTACATTCCTTTATTATGGTTTTTGAAGTTCTGGGCACGGAGTTTTGAAAGAAAGGGCTTAGAACAGTGCTAAGGAAATTATATTTGGCTTCGGAATGGGAGGAAATACTTGAGAGATTGTATTCAGCCCTAATAAAAATGGTTAACCCGTTCTCCTTTTTTTCCTTTTCCTTTTTGCTATAGCAAGAGTATTGGAGGCTAGTGGAACAGAAGGATTGCCACGTAGCAGTGCACTGTGGGAAAGTAGATACCAACACCCACGGGAGTGGTTTTCCTGTGGGGAAATCGGAACCGTTCTCAAGGTAAGGTTTGGTAGTGTCAGCCCCATAACTAGGGATTTGGGGGGGAGGGGGCCTCGTGGGGGCTCAGCTAATTAAATCAATCACATTAATTCAATTTGGGACTGGCCCGGGAGAGAGGGGCCCCGGAAGAAATGCTAGGGGGCCGTGCCCTGCAGGCCCCGCGTTAGCTCCGGGCCGGGGTAGCGTTAATTAGATCTGTGCTGAATGTTGACATCCACTCCACTCAATAAAGCCAGGGTTCCCCCAACCTTTTTGAGCCTGCAGGCATCTTTGGAATTCTGACACAGGGTGGTGCAGGCAGCCCCGAAATGGCTACCGCAGGAGGCGGAGCCAGCCACAAAATGGATGCCGCAGCTTACCTTCAGTCATACACTGAAGATGCTTATACTGTGGTGACAGCTGCAGCCAAAGAAACATTTTTTTAAAAAAAAAATCCGCATAGCCGATTAAATCTCCAGTGGCCAATCAGAAGGGTTGCTGGGCAAAAGCTCCACCTGGTCCCGCCCACTTTCTAAAGACACTTGGCGGGCACCGGGAAATGTGTCGGCAGATGCCATGGTGCCCAGAGGCACCACATACAGCAATAAGTTGGATTCTTCGGTCTGTTGTTCTGGAAACAAGGGGCACTCCGGTGTGTCCGGGACTGCGGTAGTACGACGGCGTAGAGGAGGAACAGCTCCGCAAGCAGAGCTCCGTCCGCAGACCATTGGTGGCTAGCTGATCTACTAAGATACCGTTTACAAGCCACTGTCTTATGTAGCTTCACATTGACTTGGTTCCTACTTAACCAACAAATCACAGTAAGGGGAAGGGAACAGGCAAGCCTAGCACGTTGTTTGGAGGATCAGGAACGTGACGTCTGACCTGACCCACTGGCGACTGACTGTGCTAGTTTAAGAACATAAGAACATAAGAGACGCCAATGTTGGATCAGGCCAAAGGCCCATCCAGTCCAACACTCTGTGTCACACAGTGGCCAGAAATACCAGTGCCATCAGGAGGTCCAGCAGTGGGGCCAGGACATTAGAAGCCCTCCCACTGTTGACCCCCCCCCCAAGCACCAAGAAGACAGAGCATCACTTGCCCCAGAGCCCCTAGCTATACCTTGTGGCTAATAGCCACTGATGGACCTCTGCTCCATATGCTTATCTAATTCCCTTTTGAAGCCGTCCATGCTTGTAGCACCCACCACTTCCTGTGGCAGTGAATTCCATGTGTTAATCACTCTTTGGGTGAAGAAGTACTTCCTTTTATCCGTTCTAACCCGACCGCTCAGCAATTTCATGGAGTGCCCACGGGTTCTTGTATTGTGAGAAAGGGAGAAAAGTACCTCTTTCTTTACCTGCTCTTTCCCATGCATAATCTTATAAACCTCGATCATGTCACCCCTCAGTCGTCTTTTCTCCAAGCTAAAGAGCCCTAAGCGCTTTAACCTTTCCTCATAGGGAAAGTGTTCCAACCCTTTTATCATTCGAGTTGCCCTTTTCTGCACTTTTTCCAAAGCTATAATATCCTTTTTAAGGTGTGGTGACCAGAACTGCACACAGTATTCCAAATGAGGTCGCACCATTGATTTATATAGGGGCGTTATGATATGGGCTGATCTGTTTTCAATACCCTTCCAACACGGTGACCCGCCTGTGTATTTGTAGTTGTTGATTATGCTCATTAGCACCCCTGACTTAGAAGCGCGTTATGTATCAGCACAAACTCTCTTCCTAGAATTGAACGATTTCACATTTCACACACTGCGATCGTACCTTATTGCAGACAAGCAATTAAAGAAACCCAACACCCTGAGTTCCATGGTATGAGGAGCGGCTTTTTAAGGAAGCACAAGCCTGGGGTTCTAATTCATTTTTGCATCCTTTGTGGACTCCCACACTAGGAAATGTGCATGCATTTGCCAGCCATGGAGATTTCTGGAACCCACATGGACATGTCGTCCCCCCCCCCACTCCCCGATCTCCCTTTGCTAACACAAGTGGACTTTGGGCAAGGCCTTTTTGATCCCATATGCCCCCCCCCCCTTTCCCATGCTTTAGTTCCACGTGCACTTAAATCTTCTGCACATATTCCCGAGGCAGGGACCGTGGAGTGGTGGAGTATTGTACTGGCTCGGCCAAGGTTCCAATAAATTGGGTGGAGGGTTGTTTGTTTTAGTGACTTGGCCACAACCTGGTTTGTGGGAAAACAGATTGCTAATAACCATGCGGCAGAGGCTTACAGGCCTAATCCATGGCAGCTGGGGCCCTATGAAGACAGTCAGCACCTGCCAAAATTTCTTCTTCTCCGCACAGTTATTGGAGAACCAGAGTTACTGTCAGATTGGCGAATGTCTGGGCTAGTGAATTATCGCTTCTATTTATTTTGCAAGTAAACACACACAGAGAGAGTTAATAGAATGATGTGGGGCATTGCACAGATGTTTCATATGGTATCAGTACAAAATATAATACTCTCGATATGTATACAGCAATGCTCCCTCTAAGCTGTGGAGTCTTGTGAGCAAAAATTTCACTTTGTGAGCTCCTGGCATTAAAGTTGTGAGCGAGCGATTTGGCGACTGCTCTGGAGCCATCCTTCCTGAGCGAAGTCAAAAATGAGCGAGCCGGAGGCTAGAAATCTGTGAGCCAGCTCACACTAACTCAGCTTAGAGGGAACACTGGTATACAGTCGTTTTAGCATAATTTAAACACTGATGAAATTGATCAGACAGTCTGAGTGCCGGACAGTCATCTATCCCTCCGACCCCCCAAATCTCCTGTCATTGGAAGATGGGAACAGAGTTACTGGGGGAACTGGGTAGAATAGTCCTGCACACGTTTCTCTGCCAGAAAAAAGGCTGGAGGAAAACTATTTGTTCTTGAATGAGAGCTTAAAAAATTCAGGGAATAAGTCTGGCCCGGGCAGCCCGGGCAAGCCCAATCTCATCAGATCTTGGAGGCTAAGCAGGGTCGACTCTGGCAAGTCCTTTGATGGGAGACCTCCTTGGAATACCAGCAGTCGGGAGGCGGGGGCAGGCTTTCTTCAGCCACCTCTCTGAATATCCTCCAGGCCCCCCAGTAGGGGTCCGTCACCAGAGGTCGCCATGACTTCCAGGTGCACTCACTCACTCACACACGCAAACAAAAGTAAAGAAAAATCCAGGTAAGAAGTGTGAAATATCCCTAAGGAGGCCTTCCTCTGCTTTGGTTCCAGTCTTGTCCAGCAATCTGGAATCTCCCCCACACACACACACACACACAAGACGAGACATAAGTGGCAGCTAATTTCGGTGTTCTAATGTTTGCTTGTTCTGATCTGTATCCCCGAATTTCCACAGGCATGGATGGAACCTGACAGTCCTTCCTAATAACACGGGATCCATCCTGCGACATCTTGGTGCTGTGCCTGGTAAGGCCATCGATGTCCTCCCCGTTTTTACGGACGCCCCTCTCCGTTGTGAAATGCAAACAGGGTGTTGAATAAGTCATATTTTTGCCGATTCCCTGGAGCCTGGCCTATATCTGTATATCTATATCCGCTGTTTAAAAATCAATTAATATTCAATAAGCTTCACATCACGGCGGTATTTATTGTAATCCTTTTTTTTTTATGACTCCGTTGCCCCTTGCCCCTTCAGTCCGTTCAGCACATATGGGCACCCTTCATCCCGAGAGAGGCCCGTTTTTGCCCATCGCAGCCAAAATGCAAACAACACAGCCCAGTCGTCTTGTCTTGCGGCAGAAATGAAGGGGAATGGAGAGGCAGATGGTCAAGTGTGGAGTCCATCAGGGCAAATACGTCAGGGCATTTATTTCTCCCAGTAGTTGTCATTATTCAATATGCTAATGTTTAGTGTCAATATGGTGAATGATCAGCACATGTAACTTCATTATTTGTGGAGAGTAACATCATGCTGATAAATGTGCAGAATTTTCTGCAGTTCTTCATTAAGGCTCTTTGGCGATGAGTCAGTGGCTGGTGGAGACAATTTTTTTTGTTTTGTTTTTTAAGATAGTTCACAGTTGGGTGATAGAACTATTGCTGCCCATGGTCTATATGGTCATCTCTTTTGTCACACTGTCAGATCGGTTTTGTAGATCCCCCCCCCCCATCATTACAGACAGTACTTAAGGTCCGTATTCATGCCCTAGGTAACAAAGCCACGGCGAACTCTCTGGGTCAAAAAAAAAGACCCAGTACAACTCTCTGTGTCACACAGTGGCCAAAAATACCAGGTGCCATCAGGAGGTCCAACAGTGGGGCCAGGGCACTAGAAGCCCTCCCATTGTTGCCCCCGCAAGCACCAAGAATACAGAGCATCCCTTGCCCCAGCCTTAGAGTTCCTATCTATACCTTGTGGCTAAGAGCCACCGATGGACCTCTGCTCCACATGCTTATCTAATTCCCTCTTGGAGCCGTCCATGCTTGTAGCCGCCGCCACCTCCTGTGGCAGTGAGTTCCATGTGTTAATCACTCTTTGGGTGAAGAAGAACTTCCTTTTATCCGTTCTAACCCCACTGTTCTTATTTTTATTTCTGATTGAAATAGAAGGATTTAAAGGTTTCAGGCATCACCTCAGCTGACTTGTGTGGCTTTCAACATGTCCTTACCAAAAAAACACCCCAGAACCCCACTCCCTCCTTATTTTATCCTTTAAACGTCTGTTGTACAAACCATGTTTGTTTGCACTCTTACCCCTTTAGGAGTGACAATTCCTTGGCTAAATATTGGCATGGTCTTTTCTACCTCATGCTGGTCTCGAGACCAAAATCACCTTCCATATATTGACTACTTACACACTGGTGCTGACTGCATTTGGTAAGTAAGCCCCCAGCTTGCCGGCGTGCTTCAGCGTGTTGTTATTTTCCGTCTCTGTGAGGAAAACGTGTAGTGAATCCAGTCTGTAATTCTCTTGATTCTGCGATTCTGTTTCCTCCTAATGACGGCATTCAGCTTTGATTCAGGTGTGGTTCCGGCAAAGCAAAGGCACGGTTTAAAAGCCGTTGTTACCTTGTGTGAAAAAGGATGATCCAGGTGGTCAAGGGACACCATAACGTTTGGTACTTTTAAAACAACTATTATGAAATCTCAATTTATTTCTGAGTCAGTGTTCTATATCACAAGCTACTTCTCTGGGGTATTTCCTTCAGTAACTGTAAAGAAAAATTGAAACATGGAAAACTTCCGTTCTTTCCAGAATTCAAGAGCCTTTGCTTTGTTACGGGTAAGAGTAACAAAACGCATAAGCATAACTGGCCTCGACGTTATATTTCTGTGTTATCTTTTTGAGACCATTGTGGGATCATTCACAAGAGCTTACCAGATGGAAGTAAGCAGCTTCTTAGTAGACCTGGACAGGATTCCACTGCGCAGGACCCAAAGAGGCGTCTCTTCTGTCCTCTCACTTACACTCCTGGGGGGGGGTTGCCCTCAGGAGAATTAGCCGGGGTCGTTGTGGCCCAGTGGGACAAGAGCTGCCGCTCTCAAGGAGCAGGGTGAAATGCCCTCCCTCAACAAGCTGGCCTCTTTACGGGAGCATTAGCTGGGGCTGTGCCGTCTGTCCAGGGAGAGCCGGAGGTCAGGCAGAAAGAGCCAAGGAGAGCGTGTACGGAAAGGGCCACTGGCAGGGTGCTAAGTGCAGGGCCCACAGAGGCCCCTCGGTCCTGTGCCAGCTTGGTGCAGTGGTTAAGAGCGTGGACTCTAATCGGGGAGAACCGGGTTCGATTCCCCACTCCTCCACATGCAGCCAGCTGGGTGACCTTGGGTCAGCCACAGTTCTCTCAGAGCTGTCCTTGAAAGAGCAGTTCTCTCAGAGCTCTCTCAGCCCCATCTACCTCACAGGGTTTCTGTTGTGGGGAGGGGAAAGGAGATCGTAAGCCGCTCTGAGTGAAGGGTGGGGTATAAATCCAACCTCCTCCTCCTCCTCCTCCTCCTCTAGAGAGCTCATTCTCCCTCCTGTTGTAGGCAGAGCATTTTGGGGGCCCACAAACCCTGTTGCCTTAAATAACCACCCGCCATGGCTGGAGCGTAGACTATTCAGAGCTCACAGGAAGAGCCCTGCTGGATCACACCAGGGGTCCATCTAGTCCGGCATCCTGTTTCACACAGCAGCCAACCACTTACCTTGAGCAGCCAGCAGAAACTGGGCATAGTGGCTGAGGCCCTGGTGTTGCCCCCTAGCCCTGGGCTTTCTGAGGTTTACTGCCTCTTGGAGTGGAGGTTCCCTTTCGTCGTCATGGCTAGCATCCTCCATGGACCTGCCTAATCCCCTTCCAGTTGTGGCCATTACTACATCTGCTAGCAGTGATTTTCACGATCTAATGAGTAATCCCTTGTTGAATATGTTAAAGCTCTTGAGGCAGAGGAAAGTATGGAAAGCGAGTCTGCTTGTGGCTGGTGGGGCTGACATTAGGTTCCGGGCCAGAGCCGGCCAGCCTCGTGTCGGAGTGAACGAAGGGAGATTGCAAAGAAAATAGGTCTGTAAGCAATGCTCCCCTCTAGGCCGTGGAGCCTTGCGAGGGAAAATTCTGCTTTGTGAGCAACTGGCATGAAAGCTGCGATCGAGCGATTTGGCGACTGCATAAAATCAGTTTGCTCTGGAGCCCTCCTTCCTGAGCAAAGGCAAAAAATGTGTGAGCTGGAGGCTGAAAAACTGTGAGCTAGCTCACACTGACTCACTTTAGAAGGGACGCTGTCTGTGACTGTGAGGTATTGTAGGGGTGCCAGCCCTCCCAGTGGGGCCTAGGAATCCCCTGGAATTATTTCTCATCTCCGGACTACAGAGATCAGTTCCCCCTGGAGAAAATGTGTGCCTTGGAGGATGGACTCTGTGGCCTTGTACCCCACTGAGGTCCCCGTCCTCCCCAGGCTCCATCCCCAAATCTCCAGGAGTTCCCCAGCCTGGGTCAGGCAACCCCGTCCCCCCCCCATATCCCCTGCTGGTGGCCCTGTACCCCACTGAGGTCCCCGTCCTCCCCAGGCTCCATCCCCAAATCTCCAGGAGTTCCCCAGCCTGGGTCAGGCAAATATCCCCTGCTGGTGGCCCCGGGGGGGGGGGGAGACCTGGCAACCCCAGCTTAGGACCAAGAACAAACTGACTGCAGATTTAGAAAGCAGATGAGCTTTAGACTGTTCTTCCTTCAGACATAATTTAAAGGATCTGTATTTTAGGTTCAGACTAAGCCCTATGTGGATGGAACAATCTTTACGGCTTAGCTGTTCGGTAAAATATTAGTTGCTTCCTGATTTTTCGTGCTTTGTTTCTCATCTCCCGTGCCAGAATGAATTGTCACTGTTCCATCGTAAAGCTCAGATGTGTTTTAAAATACCACTCGAAGCCTGCAAATGTTTCACGTCTGACTTACAAACAGATTGCTTGTTTGTAAGGCGAGGGATTCTTTCCCAAACAATACAGTAAGGGAGTTAATTTTTAACATACTAATGTTTGCTCTTGGCTCCGGAGGCATAGATCTGGGCGCCTGTCACAGCGCTGCACCTGATGATGTTCCGTGTGTGATAAATATCCCTTTTGTTTCCCTTCCTGTGCCGTAAATAAACAGGTATTGCATTTTCCTGCTGCAGAGGAGAAAAAACTTGACAAAGTGGTACATACCCTGCTGCAAGCCAATGGCACTCCAGGGCTGGAAATGCTTGAAAGTAATGTCATGGTGAGTTGCTTTATGGCTTGTGTCAGGGGGGATCCGAGGCGGGCGCTTGGTGAAACAGCAATGCATTATATGGCCCGAGGAAATAAAGCGGCAGCCATTCAAATCGAGATGCTGGCATTAGCACACAGGACCACAGTCTGCATGCTCGTAATGACCACGCCTGTTGCAATATATGGGACGTTATAATGCCGCCGCAGCTTTTTAAATGAATAGCCAGACGTATATAAGCATTGTAAAATGCTCGCACGTTTTTAATTTATTTTATTTATTTATTTATTTTGGGATTTATATCCCGCCCTACCCAACGGCTCAGGGTGGCTAACAAGCGGCAATGCCGAATTTAAAATTTAAAACAGTGAAACAATATTACATACATAATAAAATCGGTGCTTAATAATCTACATAAAATCACCAAGATGCGCAATAAGCAATCTTGCGCAATAATATGCACAATAATAATAAGCAAAGCCCTGGCATCTGTTGTTCTTGCCGCGTTTGGGTTGGATTCTACGGATCTCTTCCACTAGTGGGAAGGGCTTCCCTCCAGTGGGAGGGGCCTTTCCACAGGGAGAGGCGTTCCTGCCACAGGAGGACTCCTTGTGCCCAAGAAAAAACTCCTCCCCTTGCAGAATGGCTCCACGGAATCCAGGGCTTTGTTGACCACCACCATAGGCATGAAGAAAGAGATACCGCTTGAAGGCCTCTACCCAGCTGTTTTGTCACGTCCACATTTCCAGACGTCATATGTCAAGTCTGGACATCTTGAAGTTTGCTTTCGGGGTTGCTGCTGCTGCTGCTGCAACCAGCTGGGTCAGCTGCCACCAGTCTTTGCGGCAGCCCACCCCTATGAGGGGGAGCCCAGCTTTGCTCTCATGAGGACTTCCAGGGGGTATACATAAAATCACCAAGATGCGCAATAAGCAATCTTGCGCAATAATATGCACAATAATAATAAGCAAAGCCCTGGCATCTGTTGTTCTTGCCGCGTTTGGGTTGGATTCTATGGATCTCTTCCACTAGTGGGAAGGGCTTCCCTCCAGTGGGAGGGGCCTTTCCACAGGGAGAGGCGTTCCTGCCACAGGAGGACTCCTTGTGCCCAAGAAAAAACTCCTCCCCTTGCAGAATGGCTCCACGGAATCCAGGGCTTTGTTGACCACCACCATAGGCATGAAGAAAGAGATACCGCTTGAAGGCCTCTACCCAGCTGTTTTGTCACGTCCACATTTCCAGACGTCATATGTCAAGTCTGGACATCTTGAAGTTTGCTTTCGGGGTTGCTGCTGCTGCTGCACCCAGCTGGGTCAGCTGCCACCAGTCTTTGGGGCAGCCCACCCATATGAGGGGGGAGCCCGGCTTTGCTCTCATGAAGACTTCCAGGGGGTGCCCCGGCCAAACAAATGTGCACAGGTCGCCACGCCCCACAGGTTGTTTTTTCCTGCTGGAAAGCCAGTTTGAAATCAGATGTTTAAGGTGGTTTTAAGTATGTAATGGCAGTAGAAACTCATCCTCCTTGGGCTTCGGAGGAATTTCTGTTTGTTCCCGTTGTAGCACTTAGAAAGCAGCTCTGGCATTTTCCCGACATGTGAAACATCTGCTTTAGTGCCTGGAGCGGCGGGAGGGGGAGTTCTGTGTCCACCCATCAAATGCTGCTAGAATGAACTTATGCAATAATTTTAAACGTTCCTGGTTGGGGGGTGAACTTGTGCGCTGAACTACACACCTGTATAAAATTCATGTCTAGGTTTCTTGGGGTGTGGGCGGATGGTTCACGTGCGTTTGTTTTTAGAGGAGAGCACCTGCGGCCTCTGTCCGTTAAATAACCAGACACCTCGGCCTGATTGGCATTGGTCTTCTGTCATCTGCCCCTCTTGGTCACCAGAAATATGGGCCTGCATTAGGGCGGCCGAGCCCCTGGTCGGGGCGGCTTGCCTGTCAGAAGTCCCCCCCACTGTGAGTTTTCCCCCCTCCCTTGTCTCTCCCCAGATCTCCCCGGAGGTGTTGTGCAAAGAGGGGATCAAGGTGCACCGTACTGTACAACAGAGTGGGCAGTTCGTTGTCTGCTTCCCAGGATCTTTTGTGTCTAAAGTGTGCTGCGGCTACAACGTCTCAGAAACTGTGCACTTTGCTACCACCCAGTGGACAAGTATGGGTTTTAAAACTGCCAAGGTAAGTGACGGGTTTCGGGGGGTTTTGTGTGAAAAGCAAGTGAAATCGAATCTTTTAATTTCTGTGCGCTGCAGAAGGAGCGATCAAACCCAGATAGCAAAAAAATAAATCAATCAAAAGGATCAAGAGCGAGTCGCAAAAACATACTGGCCGGACGCCATCTTGGCATAGGCAAGCGAAATCCTTCCAGGCGTGCTGTGTGCGGTGCCCTGGGGCCGGGAGAGGGGCAGTTCATTTCCTGGAACAGGAACAAACTTCTTCCCTTCTCTCCAGAACGTTATGACTTGCCTGGCTATGAAAATGGTGAGGGGGTGACTTGCAAATGCACAGATTTCCAAGGGTATGACACAGGAATTGCTCCCATGCAGTTTCCATTGAAATGAATGGGAGTCCTGCAAGCTCCAGTTCCACCGTGATCCTTCTAGCTGCGTTTGTTGCTTCGACTGCAGCGATTGGCCATCCTTAGCCCTTAGGTTTTCCGCATGGCTGTGCCATTAGGCAGCTGCCCAGAGAACTGGCCGAGGAGACTTGCAAAGGTTACCATTCAGCTGGGTGCTGGGGAAGAAGGACTCACATGGGGCAACCGAGAAGGGCCACTCAGTTGTGCAAAAAGATGACGTATTTGGCAGGGAGGCGATGCCATTTTTAATATTCTCTCTGAGGTTCCAGAATGCCGAAGGTGAACCCCAACATGGCAAACTGGTCTTGCACATTCACGGCACGCGTCCGGTTTGTATCGGTTCATTCAGTAAATTAGATCCCGGCGTGTTTCTCTATTTTTACTGGACACACACGACTAAAACAGATAAACAAATATAAAGCCAACAGTCGTGTTAGTCTGACCCGCAATCAACAGTCATAAGACTTATAAGAATTGCTGTACATGTATTGTGCTCTGAAGCATTACAATATGATACACAACTTAATAGAATTTATAAACCAAGGTCCGACGTCGTCTCCGGATTATTTACCAACGTTTCAAAAAATGAATCTTCTTCAGGAGATATTATAGAGGTGCCAAAGCTCTCATTTTCACAGAAGCTAGACAACAAGTCTTAAGCATATCACGATTCAGATAGGACGCTGATCTCAATTAACACACAGTGTTTTTTTCTGGGTCCTAGGCGTCTCTCTGAGAGTTGTATATCATATTGTAATGCTTCAGAGCACAATACATGTACAGCAATTCTTATAAGTCTTATGGCTGTTGATTGCGGGTCAGACTAACACGACTGTTGGCTTTATATTTGTTTATCTCTACTTTTACTGCCATTGACTTTGGTCTGTGTAACAGGCTCCAGTGGGCAGTAAGACTTCTCCTTGGAACTATTAATGTACTTATTGATGGATGCGTGCTGGCCTTGTTTACTGACAAACGGCCACAACGGCATCAGCAGGTTGCCTTTATTGTGGGAGGTGCATGATACGCACAGAGGACCAAAGTAATCATAATCCCTTTATATAAGCAGAAGCCCTTTGCTGCCATCAGAAGGCAGCTTTCCCTAACACGGGATGAGTGTGCCTCGCATCCGGGGAGGAGCTCTTCCCTTTGTCACAGAACACCTCTGCTAGCAGAACAGGTCCGTGGGATCCAGTACATTACGGTGATTGGGCTGTAGAATCAAGCCCTTGACATCCTGTACTGCCGGGTGCCTGGAGGCAAGGGCTGAGCCTCTTCTGTGCTCTTTTTAAACTCGGCACCAAAGGAAATATGGTTGCCGTCCCCTTTCAGCAAGGCCAGGCCAGGCCCGGGAAATACGAAGACGCTGGGAGCCCAGCAAAGAAGCCTAAAGTTTGGTGTAGTGGTTAAGTGCATGGACTCTAATCTGGGAGAACCGGGTTTGATTCCCCACTCCTCCACTTGCAGCTAACTTAGTTTGTTATGACTGCTGATGTATGTTGTAAAAATCTGTATTGATGACTAACTGGTTGGTTTGTAATTTTGGATTTTCAGGACAGTTGTATACTGTTTTGCAGTTATTATATTTCTTGATATGTTATACTTCCTCTTAATAAACAGGTTAAAAATGAAAAAAAAGCTGTTCTCTCAAGGACAGTTCTGGAAAGAGCTCTCTCAGCCCCACCTACCTCACAGGCTGTCTGTTGTGGGGAGGGGAGGGGAAGGGAAAGGAATTTGTAAGATGCTCTGAGACACCTTTGGGTAGTGAAGGGCGGGGTATAAATCCAATCTCTCTCTCTCTCTCTTTCTCTCACTCTGGATGTTCCATGCTGTCAGTAGGCTAGGATTAGCTGGGCGAGGGAGAGCTGTGTACTTCTGAGCGTCTGTCTGTGTGCAAAGAGCAGTATGTGGCACATGGCTTCCACACAGTGGGTTGGACCCGGGGGGGGGGGAGGAATTTACTTAGCCTAGTTCCACTCGTGCATGGGATTGTGGAAGGTCTTGTGCAACATCTCCTGCTCCCATCTGAGTTTGCTCACACACGCAATGACACAGATACACAGGATCTTGTGCAAAAAATCTCCCTCTTCCATGTTGTGTCTTGGGGAGACACTTTGAGAACAGAGAAGCGGCTAGGTTCGCTTCCTGAAACCCAGGGATCAGTTGCACCATACCTTGCGCAAGTGGAAACACAGGTGGGAACTCAGTTAAGTTTGACGTACCGCAAGCAGCTGCTGCTCTGTTTTTTTCCTTGCCTTTCCACTTGTCCAAGAGCCTCTAGCACAGATGGAAATTTTGCATTGCCTTCAGCAAACCACATCACTTGCCTGCACTCTGACTCAGTTTCCCATTTGTGCAGGGTAAAAAATACTGGCCTGATTCATAACCATCGCCGTCATCTAGTTAATGTTTCTTCAGTACCAACATTGTACTAGCGGTCTAGGCAGAACCAGGGGCTGTGCAGATACGGTCCTTTCTCAGAAGGGATTTCAAATTATGTTCTTTTGCTTTATGATGTTATGATCTGTGAATGCAGAGATGCAGTACATTGGTCTTTCAACCGAATCATAATGGCAATATGATACACGGAAGGCATTGACAGGGCTTGACGAGGAAGTTTGCTTGGGTGTGAGTTTGCTTGAGGGCCAGGGCAGCAGCGTTTGTTTCCTCATAATCAGGATCCCACGTCCTTGTGCAAAAAAAGAGCTAGGGGAACTCATTAGCATAACTCATTAGCATATGCCACACCCCCTGACATCACCGGAAGTGTGTCATAAGGCCACACCCACCACTCAGTTAGTCTTAGTCTTAAAGGTTAGTCTTAAAGGTGCTATTTGAACTCTTGGACTATTTTGCAGCAACAGACTAACACAGCTACCTCGGGGAAGCTCCTGGATGGGGCTGGGAGTCCTTGCGGAGGCCACGTGGAGTGGCCTCGGCCAGGCAGAGGGGGAGGACGGCAACTTACCCTCCTGCTTCTTCCTCCTTCGGCAACAGAATGAGGCTGGAAGCAGGGGGCGGCCGGAAGAAGGGGGCGGGGCTTCGTCGTGTGCCCCGCCCCCCTGCACCTCACCTGGGGGGACCTGCGATCCCCCCCGAAATGACCTCTGATCAGGATCATCCAATGAAATGGATGGGGGGAGTAAGTTCAAGACACTCAGAAGAAGAGGAGGAGGAGATTGGATTTATACCCCACCCTTCACTACCCGAAGGTGTCTCAGAGCGGCTCACAAACTCCTTTCCCTTCCCCTCCCCACAACAGATACCCTGTGAGGTAAAAGAAGAAGGAGAAGAGATTGGATTTAGACCCCGTCCCAGAAGAAGAGAAGAGATTGGATTTATACCCCGCCCTTCACTTGAAGTGTCAGAGCGGCTTACAAACTCCTTTCCCTTCCCCTCCCCACAACGGACCCCCTGTGAGGCAGGTGGGGCTGAGAGAGCTCTCTTGAGAACTGCTTGTGAGAGAACGGCTCCGAGAGAACTTGCAACTGACTCAGGGTCACGTCAGCAGCTGCATCAAACCTGGTCCTCCCAGACTGGAGTCCGCGCTCCTAACCACTACACCAAACTGGCTCGCCAGGAAGTATCGGTGTAGGGATGGGCTGTGGCTGTCGTAGAACAGTCTGCTTTGCAAGCAGCAGGTCCCACCTCACGCTGTTTCGTGCCCCTGTACAATGTATAGGATATGCCGGGCAAGTCTTATAACTGTGTTTCTTACAGTTTGGTGAGAGCCAGTTTGGTGTAGTGGTTAAGAGCACGGACTCTAATCTGGGAGAACCGGGTTTGATTCCCCACTCCTCCACACGCAGCTGCTGGAGTGGCCTTGGGTCAGTCACAAGTTCTCTCAGAGTTCTCTCAGCCCCACCTACCGCTCTGAGATTCCTTCAGGTAGTGAAGGGTGGGATATAATCTCTTTTTATAATCCAATCTCTTCTTCTCTTCTTCACATACCCATTTTGAGAGAAAATCCTGTCCCCAGGGACACAGCGTTAATCCCCCCCCCCCCCCCGGAAAAAAAAATGACTTGTCCTGTTGCATGTCACGGAGACCTCAACACTCTGGGATTTGTCCGTGCAGGAGATGAAACGGCGACATATACCCAAGCCATTTTCCATGGAGAAGCTGCTGTACCAGATAGCGACGGCCGAAGCAAAGAAAGAAAACGGATCGGCTCTGAGTCCAATATCGGCGCTTCTGGGAGAGCTCAGGTAACTGGCCCCGTCCGTGTTCTTCTCCCGTCCTTTCCTGCAGAGAGGCGCCCGGGGCCCATCTAGGGCGAGTGCTGCCAGAAACCCAAGAGCCGATTTTGCAGTCACTCGCGAGAGCCGGCCCTTCCTGAACTGCGGAAGCAGGAGATGCCACGCCTGACTTGTAGAGCAGAGAACTCCACACGTCTTGTACTGGCAAGAGATGAGTTTAGGGTTGTTGTTTTTTGTAACCTCCTTCATTGCTTCTCGGTGTGCTTAACCGTCGTCCAAGATTAAAAACACACACGTGAGAGGCATGATTTCTGTATTTCAGCATGGAAACTGCTTGAGCAGAATAAGGTTTTCTTGTAAGCCCCTGGGCATCACAGGAGCGTCTGCATTGGTGGCAGAGGACCTTTCCGTAACATTTTAAATACTTTTTTTAATCTGTTATCACAAGACGTACCAGACAGACTCCCCTCTTGATGCCGAAGGGCCTATTTTTCTGTTTGGAAAGGGGGGAGGGGAAGATGCTATTTCTTATGTAATGCTCTTCTCTTTTATTCCCTTACCATGTAGCATCGCTACCCGCAATTCAAGTGCTGGTCGCTAGCAGATTGAATAGAGCAAGATATCTGATGGCTGGAATCTACAAATTGTATTTAAAAAGCTAATGTGTTGATATGCAAAGAAGGGTTAAAAGTCTTTTCCACTGTGTGTTGCGCTCAGAGTGGAAGACTTTTCAGACACACGGAAGAAGAACTCCACCTGGAGATACTTCCTCTGTGGGGCATTGCTACATCCGCATGCATTCATTTTTTTCCTGGAAGGGAGGAAATTTTTGCGAGTGTGACATGGGGATGGGGTTTATTTTTCCCGTTCAGCCATCTTAGCGGTTCTCAGACTTGTTCAGATTTAAATTGTCGCCCCGCAGAGAAACCCCTGTAGGGTTTCTCTCCTGGATCCTGATTTCTTTTGCTGATTGGAAGAACGGTGTCTTGTAACTACAAACGTCCACTTAACTGCTTTTGCTTGCTGTGGCTTTCTTCTGTCTCCCGTTTTCGAATGTGACCCCCCTTCCCTCACTGTTCCGGTACCTGTCCCTGCTACGTGCTGATGGCTTCCTGTGCTTTTCCTCTGTTGCTCAGCCCCGTGTCGTTTACAGCCGGAAAAGTCAGTCTTGACAACTGCTGGACTTCTAAGGAGAATCTGCCATAGGACACGGATTGACCTGTGTCCCTGTATTTCCCTTGGGTGTATCCTGTTTATTGGCACTGTCAGTGAAGCGGTGTCCTCCCCTGAGGGGATGGGTCTGGCTCCCTCAAAACTAGCAATCTCTTTTGGTCGATTCACAAACGGTAGCCATGGTCTCCCAGCAGCCTGACCTCCGGTCCACTCTGAAGTTTTCTGTCCAGACTGAAGGAAGTGAGGCCTGGCGAGTGCGGCCTCTGCGAGAGACTTCTGCTTCCTAATTGTTCCTCATGTTTACAGGGACACAGAGTTGAGGCAGCGGCGACAGCTCTACGAGGCAGGCCTCCATTCCTCAGCCCGCTACGGGAGCCACGACAGCAGCAGCAGCAGCACGGGAGCGGATGGGAAGAAAAAGCCTCGAAAGTGGCAGTTGGAGACGTCCGAGAGGAGGTGTCAGATTTGCCAGCACCTGTGTTACCTGTCCATGGTGAGGGTCATTCTGGGGATCCAGGCTCCTGGAGAGCCAGTTTGGTGTGGCGGTTAGGAGTGCGGACTCTAATCCAGGAGACCCGGGTTTGATTCCCCACTCCGCCACATGCAGCCGTCTGGGTGACCTTGGGTCAGTCATAAGTTCTTTCAGAGCTGTTCTCTCAAGAGAGCTATCTCTGCCCCACCCACCTCACAGGGTGTCTGTTGTGGGGAGGGGAAGGGAAAGGAGTTTGTAAGCTGCTCTGAGACTCCTTTGGGTAGTGAAGGGCGGGATATACCGTATTTTTTGGACCATAAGACGCACTTTTTCTTCCAAAAAAAGTGAGGGGAAAAGTGTGTGCGTCTTATGGACCGAATACTGAGCCCCAGGGTTCAGAATATTTTTTTTCCCTGTTTTCCTCCTCTAAAAACTAGGTGCGTCTTATGGTCAGGTGTGTCTTATGGTCCGAAAAATACGGTAAATCCCATCTCCTCCTCCTCCTCTTTCTTCTGCTGCTGTACTCACCGAAACGGCATTTGATCGTTTCTCTTTTGCTGCGTCCTAAAACATTCCACAGCCGAAACAATGCCAACATGTCAGTAAAATATTGACTTGAAATGTCGTGGAACGCCTTGATGAGTAGGATGCTCAGGACTGTCTTCAGGGCTCTTTTTGTAGAAAAAGCCCAGCAGGAACTCATTAGCATAATAAGCCACACCCAACACCAGAAACCCATTAGCATATTTGGCCACACCCCTGCCAGCACAGCTCATTAGCACATTCGGCCACACCCCCATGTTACCAGAAGTGTGCTCATCCAGCCACACCCACCTTTTGCTCCTTATTCTGTTTACCTTGTTTGTGGTCAAAACCCAGGGCTTTTTTTGTAGCAGGAACTCCTTGCCAGGTTAGGCCACACACCCCTAATGTAGCCAATCCGGATGAGTTTCTGCTGTTGGGTGTGGCCTATTATGCTAATGAGTTCCTGCTGGGCGTGGCCAACTCAGGAGCCAGCCAAAACTCCATTCCTGTGCGTTCCTGCCCAAAAATAGCTCTGACTGTCCTGGCAGTGCCATAACCACTGGATATCGTTGAGGCTGGAGTTGATTTTCTGGCAGTTCCGTTTCAAGTACGGGCCAACCGTAGACCCAGACAGGAGGAAACACGAGCACCAAAACCTGGACAACTTGTTGATGATAGTAACGGTTGCCTTCCAGCTCCCTTGACTGAGGATCAGCATGACCGCCCAGGAAGCCCAGAGTGTTCCTGCTTAGGATGACCTAGGGCAGGGGGTGGCCAGACAGGCTTCACGTCAGAGCCACATAGAATAGACGCCAGATGTTTGAGAGCCGCAAGACATGAACAAACATCACACACGTGTTTTTATTGAAAAAATATGCAGATTTGCCTTCCATAACAATTGATAACTTTAGATGGGGAGGGAGGGGAGAACGTTCAATGTGTCCTCCAAGTCCCTCCCCGCCCCCCCACGCCGGCTAGCTTGGCCTGGAGGTGTTTAAAGAGAAGCAGAGAAGGAGGAGATTGGATTTATACCCCGCCCTTCACTACCCAAAGGTGTCTCAGAGCGGCTTACAAACTCCTTTCCCTTCCCCTCCCCACAACAGACACCCTGTGAGGTAGGTGGGGCTGAGAGAACTCCTGACAGAAACTGCTCTTTTTCAAGAACAGCTCTTATCAGAACTACGGCTTGCCCAAGGTCATCCAGCCAGGTGCAAGTGGAGGAGTGGGGAATCAAACCCGGCTCTCCCAGATTAGAGTCCGCGCACTTAACCACGACACCAAACTGGCAAATGCCTTCTCCAAGCCGGCAGGGGTGGGGGTGGCTTTGAGAATGCATTTAAAGTCCAGGATGCTTTCTGTCTCTGCACTGGCTGGGGAAGGGCAGACCGATTGGGGAGGCATACCTCCCCCTTTGCTTCCCCAGCCACTGTAGCGGGATCCGCACAACACGTGTGAAAGAGCCACGTGTGGCTCCCAAGCCAGTCTGGCCACCCCCCGATCTAGGGTCCTTCTGTGCCACTCCCCTGGCTGAGCCTCAGTGCGGCCCTTTTGCAAAGGAAGTGCATGATCCGAAACATGGCTTTGTTGGTGTTACAGTTCTCTTGCTGCAGTGTAATGCTAGGCAGCTGCCCGCCCTTTTGCAAAGGAAGTGCATGATCCGAAACATGGTTTTGTTGGTGTTACAGTTCTCTTGCTGCAGTTTAATGCTAGGCAGCTGCCCCAAGTGAATTTTATCAGAGAGCATAGGATATAGAAGTATCTTGAACAAATCCCCAGTAGTCTTCTGAAGCTGCACATTGCAGTGGGCAATTGGTACGTGCACGAGTACTCTGTTAACCCATCTGCTGTTATTGATCTTTTCTTAGAGGAACTGCATGGTTATCTGGAACGTGGTTTGAAAATCGCCGTTGTAGCACACGGTATCAGCTTTAGTAGAAGGCTTCCTTTTTTGTTTAAAATAAAAGGTGTTTAATATGCCTCGCAACTTCTAGGTTTTTTCAGGAGCATTTAAATAAGGGAAAGCTATGAGAAAGAAACCAGTAAGTAGTTTAGACAGAACGATGCTGTGAACGCAACAGTACTGTAAGACCCGTCACCATGTGCAGATCTACAGCCAGTTTGGTGTAGTGGTTAAGAGTGGCGGACTCTAATCTGGAGAAATGGGTTTGATTCCCCACTCCTCCTCCTCCACATAAAGCCTGCAGGGTGACCTTGGTCCTCCCTGAGTTTCTCTCAGAACTTTCTCCGCCCCACCTACCTCAGAGGGGTGTCTGTTGTGGGGAGAGGAAGGGAAGGCGATTGTAAGCCACCTTGAGACTCCTTAGGGGAGAGAAAAGCAGGGTGTGAAAATCTACTCTTCTTCTTCTTCTTGGTACCCTGGATCCAGGCTCTTAGTGCCAGAGAATTCCAGAGGCTAGTGCAACCTAAGACCATTATTGGGTGCATTAAGAGAGCATCATAACTAAAAGTGTATTTTTGTCTGCACGCACAACACGTCACAAAACACAGGCCTGCTACCCACACAGAGGCCCAACACACGAAGGCCCCTTGAAACACTTCCATGTTGCTGCTGTGTGTACCACAGATCATTTGCAGAGAGGGTCACTTTCTCCATACTATTGCCAAGTGCTAACAAATCTGTAATGGAAGGGAGAAAACGGGTTGTAGCCAGCCAGCTTTTACCCTGGAGGGGGGAAAAAGAAACAAGTACTCTTTGACGACCAAAAATGCCATGCTGGGGACCATGAGGACCTGCATATGCGATGCAAGAAGAGGAAGCAGCTAAGATGCCTTTGGCTGAGGCCGCGGACGTCCACGTACGGCCTCCCTGAGGTTTTTGTCACCTATCTAACAACTGCTGGCCACTATTTATATGTCATCAACAGGCCAGGGGACTCTCTCGCAACTGCTAATTTTCCGTTCTTGGGTTGCGATCACCATTTTAATGCATGTGACGGTGTTTTAATATTTTACTTATTTATTGTACTGCAGAAAGGGGCTATAAATGTGAATTGATAAATAAATAAATAAATAAATAAATAAAGCTGGCTGGATCCAACCCTTTGTGATGAAACATTCCACACACGGAGTTCACCAAGTTGTCGGCCGCCATGTGGAAGTCTAAAGCGGCCTCCGCGGGACTGCCTTCATGGCTACTCAAGCGCTTCTTCTTATGGAAGAAGAAAAGGTTACCCCGGCTGAAGTTTTTCCTGGAAGAATGGTTGAGAGTATACTTGTTGCTCACTGGGATTTGCTTTCAAAGCTACCTGCCTATAAACAACGTGAAAATAACTGCTAGTCTGATGACACACAGCGAATCCTAAGCACAGCTGCACACTTTTAAGACCACTGGCTCCACTTGACCCTAGAAAGGGCTGCAGTGTTAATGACTTGCTATAGTATGTCAACAACAATAAGCTAGTCAAGAGTGTTTACAAAATAACACTGAACATCACGGGACTGACCTGTTATGAGCCCTGAAAGTGGGTTCGCAGAGTTATACGTACACAATAGCAAAGACGGCCAAACTTCATCCATACAGAATCACAGAAATACAGAATGTGATTTAGGGGGGAGAAAGCGATCGGCACTTCACTAATGCCCTGGGCCCCTTTGTTTTGTCAGGTTGTACAGGAGAATGAAAACGTCGTCTTCTGCCTGGAATGCGCCCTGCGGCACGTGGAAAAACAGAAGTCTTGTCGAGGATTGAAACTAATGTATCGTTACGATGAGGTCTGTACAGAGTGCGGGTTTTTTGCCTGTACTATCGTAAGCGCCAGACGGCTTCGTAGGGTAGAATAAATCGCATTTGTGATATGTAGGACTGAAAGTTGTACTTTCTCCTTAGAAATTTCAGTTGCATTGGAAAATCTGGTTTTGATTTCCACCCTCATTTTATGGACTGACAGTAAAAGCGGCTTACTAAGCCAGGAGGTGTCAAGCTCGTTGGTTACGAGGGCCGGATCGGACGTAAATGTCGTCTTGTCAGGCCGGGTCACGTGTGCCATAAAACGTAAGGCCAGGCACCGGAGATACTTCACCAAACCCCTCCTCAGAGCCTAACTCACTGCCCTTTGTTTGATATGCCCCAAGAGTTTTGCGCAGCACAGAGAGCGATTGCCCAAAAATTGAGATGCAACAACCAGAGACTCTGGTGGCCCTTTAAAGACTAACACGTCAGAAGCTTTTGATGAGCTGGAGCAGGAAGGGCCGCATTCCGTTGCCACAGGTGTGGCAGCCAAAGACAGGTGGCCAAGTGGCATCAACCAGGGGGAACCCGAGCAGTCAACAGGCTTTGGGGAGGGGGAGGAGGCAGCTGCAAAACCCCACACACCCCTCTGTCAAAGTCCCAAATTCAGCCACAAGCTTGGGCCACAAGGGAAACGGTGATTCTCCCCAGCACGAGCAGTCTAGCACTGCCACTTGCCAGGGGTGCCAGCTCCACGTCCGTTGCCTTTTGCAGACTTTTATTTCCAGCCATCTTTTATTTCCACCATCTGCAAACCCAGCGTGCTTTCCTGAATGTCTGCTCCTGCCCCTGACTTTCCATTCAGACAGTTACATCATAAGACAGCGCTTGCGTGCAGGGGGCCCGCGTGCATTTTGGCTCTACCTCTTATTTGATCCTCCCCGTGCTGCCGTGGGAGGGAGGCAGGTAGGAGAGTGGCCACACACACACTTGGGTCAGCAGGCTCCGGCTCACCCAACTCGACAGTGGGCCTCCTCCGCTCCCGACCCTCAGCGTTCTGTTCTTATATTCTACGCGCATTGTGCCCCTAACGTGAGCACTGGGCCCTTCTCTCTTGCCTAGGCTGCTGTGCACCAGCCAGTGGCTCTTTTTGGCGAGCTGGCCAGCGGCCTTCCATGGGCTCTTGTACCTGCTTCCCTGAGCTGCCTGCAAGTGGGAAGCCACTCGGCTCGGGGAGGTGGGGCCACAGAGATCCTGCCTGCTGCACGTGAACAGGCAGCCATCTTTCCAGAAGCCCAAGTGGCGGCTGCAGGAGGAGGTGGCAGCAGGCCGCCCAGTCCAGTGCCTTGGCCAAGGGCAGCAGGCCGGCACCAGAGGGACTGGCTGCACAGAGCTTGGGGCCAAACCAGTCCTCCTCACCCCTTATGGTTGCCAACTCCTGATTGGGCACCCCCTGGAGATCTCAGGGAAGACTCTGCATTTGGGGAAGGGAGGGACCTCAGCAGGGGGTATAATACCCTAATATAGGCCCTTCTGGTCCACATTTGGACTGGTTCCCCCCCTCAGTTGCTCGTGGGCGGGATAAGAGACCTGGACGAAGCAGTTCCAGCCCCGGGCCGTATGTTTGACATGTCTGACCTAAACTATATAGTTCTTGTCTCTTATCCCAAGTCTGGTAAACACAGAAGCCATTTTCACATGTTACATCCTGCGTGTACATGCCATACATCTGTCCGTAAGAGCCAAAATGTTGTTACTTTACAAATGAAACCAGCAGCCAGTGCCTGGATAAACGTGGGGTTTCAGTCACATGTTGAGCTGTGAATGAGTCATCACCACACATAAAGAAAAATCAGATGTACTCTCTTTTGGAGGGTAGCCATGCAGGTGTGCGGTAGGGGTTAGATTCGGGTCCTTGGAGAATGAAATTTCTGGGATATAAACTTTCAAAAGCCAAGGCTCCTATTGTCAGATACCACAAAGGGTACACTGTGCACAGATTGCGTGTTCACTGCAACTTGTGAACAGGGCTGGAGAAGTTTTGAGAACAGAGTAGCCTTCCTCCGGTGGAATACACACCCCTCCGTCCTTTGCCAGAGGAAGGGTCCTGGCCCTGGAGGAAAATGCTGCTGTTAGCAAAACAAAAAAAAATGAAGAAGTACTATTGGTAAGGAGCTGCGGTGGCTCAAGTGGTTAAGACGCTGAACTGCAGGCTGTGGAAGGTCAGTAGTTCAGCAGTTCGAGACCCGAGTGTGCCACATGACAGAGTGAGCTCCCGTCTCTAGTTCCAGCTCCTGCCAACCTAGCAGTTCGGAAGCAAGAAATTGCAAGTAGATAAATAGGTACCACTTCGGTGGGAAGGTAACAGCGTTCCGTGCACCTTGGTGTTTAGTCATGCCGGCCACATGACCACGACTTCAGACAGCGCTGGCTCTTCGGCTTTGAAACGGAGATGAGCACCGCAACCCTAGAGTCGGATTCGACTGGCTTTCGAGCAAGGGAACCTTTACCTTTACCTTACTATTGGTAAAGCAGTTCAACATTTGCTCACTGCCACTTTGATCTCAACTAACGGGTTCTTTTCCGTCACCTGATGTCTAAGAGGTGGTTTTTCAATAAGCGGAGTGCTGATTTTGCTGCTTACTCTTTCCTCCAATAGGAACAAATAATCAGTTTAGTCAATCAAATCTGTGGGAAAGTATCTGGCAAAAACGGCACCATTGAGAACTGCATCAGCAAGCCTACACCAAAAAGAGGACCTCGGAAGAGAGCAACAGTCGACGTACCATCATCCAGACTTTCATCCTCCAGTTCATCCAAAAGTGCTTCAAGTTAATCATGAAGATGCCAACACACACTCTCTTCTCTCTCTCTCTCTCTTTTTCTTTTTTTTGGTCAATTTTATATATATATTTTGTAATTATTATATCATAGTTTGGAGTACTTGCTGTAGAATACAAGCTGTCTTTGCACTAGCTCTAAAGAAGATTTTCTTCTGGTTTTAGAGAACTAATTTTGTTTTAGCATTAAACTGTTGAATTTTTTTTTTTAATTTAGGATAGATGGATACAGCAGTCAGGTCCCCCCCAAACACACTGCTGTGCATTCACTGTTTTAAAACTGGCAAGAGGCAAATGACATTCACTTGTATTTGTCCCTCTGTCTGAAATTTTTTTTAAAGCCTTTTTTCCCCCTTCAGTAACTGTGAAAAAGGCTTTTCACCCCCACCCCTTCTTTTTGTGTTTTTTCCCTCCCCCAATAGGTTGAAGTTTGGCGTGGGTGATGATTTGTTCTCCAGTCATGACCGCAAGTAGTTTTTTTCTTTTTTCCAAGCCAGAAAAGGGATAGGAGACAAAAACTTGAAAGAAATCGCTATACTTTTGGCTTGTATTCTGTAACAGGCAGGATGAGTTTTGTACCTTTTTAAATCGGAAAACACACACTTTTCTTTGAGAGGTGACGGCAGCTGAAGATGGACTTAGTTTTCTAACTGTAGGCAAAATGGGAGATTTGGAGAAACTGTTCTCTGTTACCAGCACTTCACTATGCATCTGTTCGAGGAGGAGGAGAAGAAAGAGAAAAAGACTGCCTGCCTTGAGGAGTCATGTGAGCGAAAAACTGTGCCTGATTTCATTAGGAAATCCATTCTGTTATTTTTTTGGTGCTGTTGGCTACTTTTGTCAAAAAGAGAAGAAAAAAAACCCTTCAATAGCATCCTTTAAAAATGATTGAAGCCATAAGTGCTTCTTGTCATAGACGTGCAATCTTTAACATTCCATTTTCATTCCACTGCTGTTTTACATACCTTTTCACAGTCAGCATTAATTTTGTTTTTGTTATATGATCACATTTAGAGCCACTAGAAGGTTTGCATCTTTCTTTTTGAATGTGAAAATGCATTTTGCTCTCCATTTTGTCTATTTTTTTCTTCTTCATGTTGTAACAAAAAAAAAAGAAATCATACCTTTTGTACATAAGCCTGTAAATTGTTTTAAATACTTGAGCCTTTTTTCTTGGGAGGGCTGGGAAGGGTGGCAAAGAGACAAGATGAAGAAAAGCCTTACGTTTCACTTTCTTCATCGGTTGGATTGGATGCTTACAGGGTTTTTCTTGTAACATTTATAAGTGCTGCTTACATCACTGAACAACAACAAAAAATAATAAATGGAGTAGTTGTTGCCCTTTTCCAGTTGTGTGTACAGTATGTGTGGAATAAAAAAGGGAAAATGTTTTCACAAACTCTTTGTTTCATAATTGAATTCGACAAGACCGTAGAGCTACCCATATTGCACTGAGCTTGCCAGTGGTGACTGTCAGGAAAGTCTTATAAAAATACATAATTGTTGGTTGTTGCAGAAGACTGAACTGTTTTGAAAATATTTAACAATAACCTACAGAGTCGAGTGTTTTCCAATGTGGTTGTCCGGTTTTGATGGCCTTGCTGTGTACTTTTTCCTTCTTGACAGTAAACTTCTGACTATGGCTTACAGTTTGACATTTAATTTATTAGCGCTGCTCTGCTCTCTTTCCTTGCAAGGAGAGACTTCATGTTTATTGCCAGTTTTTGTTTACTTTTCAGGTTTGTAATACAAGGTTTAATAAAAAAAAACACTTTTGGACACTTTGTCTTTCTTCTGAGAGAGTAGCAGAGTTTAAATTAGCTATTTTTTAACAAACAAAATTAGAATCTTTCTAATAGGCTAGAGAAAACTAGAAACTTGTAGTTATGTCTAGTTTTTATTTTATTGAACTACGTTATTCTACCAGATGAGAAATAAACCCTTAAATCATATTTAGATGTTCTCTATCCAATAACTTTTTCGTATTCTGTCCCCTTCCATTGGATAATCTTACATTCTTAACTAGAGACAGCCTCGAGGATCTAATTAATTCATTGCATAATGTCAAAAACCCTTATATCAACTCAGCACCTAAAGGAATGGGCTCGAGAGAGACTGAGAGCAGGAGTAAGACGGAGCGGTCATAATTATCCTCCTCCTGTGACCTTTGTTCCAGGTACATGGGCTCCCCGTGGTAAGCAGCTGGATCCGTATTGCTTAATGGTCAGTGCTGCAAAGGGATGGAAGTTGGCTCTTCTCTCACGTCAGGGACAAGAAGTTCAGAAATGCATCTTGGCATCACAAGGGGACAGCGGGCTCGGAGGTGTCCTGCTGTACTGGTAACTGTACCCACGGCCGAATACAGCCTCAGACATGGTACCGTACTCTCCTGCCCTTTTTGTATCACTGTGTCTGATCATTTGGTTTTCAGACTGTGAACGCGGAAGACAGCTGGGCCCCCTGTCACCCCTTTCATTTGCCTTGAAATAAGTAAAAGGCAAAGCAGGAACTTTGGTCATTATAGAACTAGTTAAAAATGCTTTGCATTCAAGGTATATACACTTAGCAGTTATTCTCCCAGCATGGGCCCTTTTTACGAGTAATGGTGTGTGTGACACCCACTACTTCAGTAAGAAAAATGAATCCCCCCACTCCCTATTAAAAGGTCAGTGCGACCTCTCTCACCTGGCTTTGTTTTCCTTTTCTCAGGTAGCAGAACAGAACATTAGAGCTGGCCATTCTGCCGCTAACAGCTTGAATACAGCAGTAGGGGTTTTATCGGTTTTTAAACACAGCGATTGAGACAGGCACACTAATAGCAATCACAGACACACACACGAACCTGTATTTTTAACATTCCTATTGAGGACGTGAAAATAAACCCTTTCAAAACTTATGTCTTGGACAGCCCTCTGTATAGAAGGTTTTGTGTTCAAAAGCCAAGGCTTTATTGCTGGAAGGTGTGCTTTTGAGAAATTTTATAAAAATCAATGTTTCACATGACTGAGATTCAATTTGTATGTGCTCATTTTTTTTCCATGATGAACCATTACAGTGACATGGGCAAGTTCATTCGACTGTCCCTTCGCTCATTCTGGGGTCGTCATTCCTCTGGAGCGCTTTGATCAGGTTCAGCCTACTTGTGAGTCACTCTCATCGCTGAGGTCAGAAGGGCCCCTCGCTTCCGCACTGCCGGCCACCAGGGCAGTGTCCACTTGTACGTCCTCCTCGTCTGACTGGATCACGGGGGACTCCCCTTCACTGGCATCCTGGCTGGCAGAATCAGTGCCGCCCGTTGTGGAAGACCACTTCTCCCTCAGTTCCGACAGCGTGGGGACTTGAAGACTGATTTCATTTTGACAGGCGGTCGAGTCCGGCCCTTCAAAGAACAATGAGGAAAAAGCCATTAAGCCAACAGTCTTTATGCCGATCATTTTAATTACGGTATTAATATCGTAAAACCACGCTAGAAGACCTAATTGTATGGTCCCCACACCTCTGGAGGCACGGAGTTACAACGGCCATTTAACCGGGGTGAGAGGCAGATGACAGAACAGGAGTTACGTTAGGAGATAACAGCTTTCAGAAATTGGCCTTGAGCTCGGTTTCTAGCTTGCTGTATGAATAACTGAAATCTCCAGATGTCTGAACAATGGGAATTGGGCTTGTGGATTTCCATTCCCCTCAGTGACAGGGAGACTTGGGATGCGCCTCTCTCTCCTCGAACCTGGGAAGGAGCAATTCCTCAGAGGTCTGATGCCTTTAAAAAAACCACTCAGAACTGCAACTCAAGAAAGCCTAAAGAACAGAACACCTCATCCCAAAATGTACCACCACAATCTTCTGCCAGTGGGAAAAGAAGAGGGACAGTCCAGACCCTCCGGGTGAGAACCATTCTCAGATGATCACTGGGCAGCTGTGCCTCAAAAAATACAGAGCTGGCTTGCTTAAACCGGGCAAATATCCCCAGAGTACATTTGCCGAGTTCAACTCTAGTTGGCTCGACGTTGCCTTCCTTAACTGGACAGAGAGAGAGAGAGAGAGAGAGCCAAATCAGAAAAGAATTCCAGAATACGAGGTGGTCTTTACAAGGGAGCACTAGTGGCGATTAACAAAACTGACGACCAATTCTGAGGCGAGATGGGTTTGGGAAATTTCTTCATTCTCTACTTCCGGTGCCAGAGAAGCAAAGCACCCCAAAGCCAGACTGTCCTCTCCTTGAAAAAAACAGTTCAGATTCTCTGGAGGTAAACACCTCTTACATCCTTGAAAAAAACAGTTCAGATTCTCTGAAGGTAAACACCTTGGACCTGAAATCTGAGCAATGGATCTCTTACAAGTAGAATCCATGATCCGTTATCAAACATACTGAGTTTGTTTTTCGATACAAAGGAAAAAATTGGGGGGGGGGGAGAGATACTTGACTTTTATGATCAAGTAGTATAAATATGACACAATAATTATCACATCAGAGACTGATTTCCGAGAAACACCCGCCTATATCTCGTCACGATCACCCACTGAAACCTCCTATGTAGTATGTACAGTTCAGAAAGTACAGGAAACCACCACCCATTCCCTTCCACCAGGCATCAGCAGGATTAGTACCACTTTTTCCGAGCCATGTCCTACCTGTCATAGGGGATGGCATAGTACTGTCCTCCCCTCCAGAGTTAAGAAAGACATCTAAGGCTTCTTGGTCAGACATATCCACGAGGTCCATTTGCTCCAACATATCCACATTCACTTCCATAGAAGACATGCTTCCTATTGGCTCTGCAACCAGACAAAGGTGAATGAATAAAAGAGATTCCGGGCAAAGACCTCCAACTTCATACATACAAGCTTTCATGGCCACAGTCATGTGCTGCATTCAGAGTTGTTAATTGTAGGAATGAGTATATTGGAATATAGATGGGATGTGCATTGTAAACACACAGCCTTTTCACTTTTTTTTTTAAAAACTGCTTGCCTGGCATGAGTTACCTCAACAATTTGTCCCGGAACGTCTATGTGTAAATTTCAGAAAGTAAAACTTACTCTTTAGCAGAACTATACCAATTACCCCTTTTTCCTTTCACTTTCTATCAACATGAGAAACGTAAGTAGATGAAAACGATTGTGCAAATACAAGCAGCTTTTATTCCACCTACATCTCAACCAATGATTTCCAGCAGCTGCAATAGTCCTACAGATGTGAACACAAACATGGTGAAGGTAAGCAGGACTAGCAGCTCATGGCATGGATGGGACAATGCCTGGACGCAGAAGTCACCCCGAAGCATGGATACCAGTGGAATGAATACAAATCCATCAGGAGGCCCACCAGCAGGGCCAAAACTCCAGAAGCCCTCCCACAGTTGCCCCCAAGCACCAAGAATACAGAGCATTACTGCCCCAGACATAGTCTTCCATCTATAGCCACTGATGGACCTCTGTTCTTGAAGCTGTCTATGCTTGTACCTACCACCACCACTTCCTGTAGCAGTGAATTCCACATGTTGATTACTCTGGGTCAAGAAGTACTTCCTTTTATCTGTTCTAAGCCTACTGCTCATTAATTTCATTGACTGCCTATGAATTCTTGTATTGTGAGAAAGGGAAAAAAGTACTTCTTATCTACCTTCTCTATTCCATGCATAATTTTGTAAACCTGTCATGTCATCCCTCAATTGTCATTTCTCTAAGCTAAAGAATCCTAAAATGTCTAAGCTTCCTTCACAGGAAAGGTGTTCCCTCTCCTTAATCATTTTAGTTGCCCTTTTCTGCACCTTTTCCAACGTTATATCTTTTTTGAGGTGCAGTGAAAAGAACTGTACACAGCAGGGCTCTTTTCGTAGAAAAAGCCCAGCAGGAACTCATTAGCATAATAGGCCACACCCAACCGCAGAAACTCATTAGCATATTGGGCCACACCCCTGACAGCACAGCTCATTAGCACATTAGGCCGCACCCCCATGTTACCAGAAGTGTGGTCATCCAGCCACACCCACCTTTTGCTTCTTATTCTGTTTACCTTGTTTGTTGTCCAAACCCAGGGCCTTTTTTTGTAGCAGGAACTCCTTTGCATGTTAGGCCACACACCCCTAATGTAGCCAATCCGAATGAGTTTCTGCTGTTGGGTGTGGCCTATTATGCTAATGAGTTCCTGTTGGGCGTGGCCAACTTGGGAGCCAGCCGGAACTCCGTTCCTGTGCGTTCCTGCCCAAAAATAGCCCTGGTACACAGTATTCCAAATTAGGCTACACCATAGGTTTATACTGGCTGATTTATACAGATTTAGACATAGATTTATACAGGCTTCCTCAGGAAGTGGTGGGCTCTCTCCTTCTTTGGAGATTTTCAAACAGAAGCTAGATGGCCATCTGACAGCAATGCGGATTCTGTGAACTCGGGCAGATCATGAGAGGGAGGGCAGGAAGGGTTGCCTCAGTGCTTAGCTCTTGTGGCCCTTTTTTACACACCCAGGGAAATGCTGATCGCCACTTTGAGGTCAGGAAGCAATCATGGAGGGGTTTTTTTTGTCATCTGGGCGTGGAACAGCGGTCACTGCGGGTGTGGAGGGGGAGGTTATTTGTGAATTTCCTGCGTTGTGCAGGGGGTTGGACTAGATGACCCTAGAGCTCCCTTCCAACTCTATGATTCTATGATTTGCTTTC